GTCCTCTCCCTCCTCCTGCTCCTCTACCCTCTTGGCCTTGAGCAGGGGTCCATCCATCTGGGAGCTTGTAGCAATCGCGCCACATGTGTCCGGTCTTGTGGCAATAATGACACTCGCCATCGAATCGGCCGCGACCGCGCCCGTAGCTCTTGTCGTCGCTTCCGGAACCGCCACTCCCGCGGCCTCCGCCGAAGTTGCTGCCACCAAACCTTCCTCCCCCTCGTCCTTTGCCTCTTCCTCGACCATATCCACGGCCGATGCTCGCTGCCCCAGCGCCATCCGCACTCGCCAACTCACGGCGGCGGAAATCCTCTTGAAGGATAGCTCGCTTCACATCTTCGAGCGAGAGGCGGGGCAAGTCGCGATTCAGGTTGATGATGAGCGAGGACCATGACTCAGGGAGTAGGGCCAGCAAATTGGTCTTCTTCTGGAGCTCACTATAGTTCAAATCAACTCCCTCAAGCCGCGTCAGCAAGTCGAAGAATTTCTGCACCCCGTCTTCCACGGGTTCATCTTCCTCAATTCGTAGCGTCGCCATTTGCCGTTCCAACACCACAGCTACTGCCGCTGTTGCAGGAGCGTGTACACCCTTGAGAGCAGCCCATGCCTTTGGTCCCTTCTCTGGTTCACGCTGGAAAGGCTTGATGTGACGGATTTGACTGCTCCCCAACGCTTGCCCAAGTAGGAGATAGCCTTGTGCGCTCTTCCGCACCCACGGGCTCTTCTCCGGGTCGTTCTCGGGGCGCTTCTCCGTTCCTTCCATCACCTCCAGCAGGTCATAATGGTCGAACACGTTCTCCATTCTGAAGGACCATTCAGTAAAGTTGTCGCCGTTGAACTTGTCAAGCCCGAACACTCTTGGTTCGTCCCTAGAAGGTCCAAGAGTTGGTTGCACGGGCGCCACGGCTGGCTCACGGGCTTGGCCTTGTGCTTGGGCTTCTCCATTGCCACCAGCACCTCTGCCACCCCTCTCTTCAGGTCCAGCCATTGTCGAAACTGCTCCAAGGGGCTCTGATACCACTTGTTATAGTCACACTAGGCTTCAATGTGCCTAAAACGAAAGATAGAGTGCACAGTCGGATTTCGTAACAGCGGCTTTAAACGTTCATAGCGATCTTCTCACAACTCCAAATGACTTCATTCAACTTGGATCTGGAGCGCCTTAACTTTGCCTACACTAGGCAATTTAGATCTCACGATTTCATCAAGAATTGACAACACAGCGTTGGTTTGAACGAACGGCACTATGGCAGCCACTACAGTCTTAGAACACACAAGATAGGAAGAGTTAGCAAGAGTTACGAGTTGGGAATGACTCCCAGCTCCTACAAACCCCAAGAGCCAAGGTACAGTGATGTAGAACAGTGCCACACTGTCCCCAACCACGAAGGGTCTCGAACCTACCCTTCACAAGGGTCTACACCAATAGAAATGTTACACTACACATTGTAATGTAACTATCTTCAACATCTTGAAGTGTACCCTTTTGGCGAGCTTCGAAATTACTTGAAGCTTGAAACCAAGGCTCGGGTTCTTCATCACAAACTCATCCTTGAGTTCTTGATGGGTCTGCTGCACACACCTGCGACACGCCGAACGTTCGACAAGCGACAAAATACAAACCGCGCACGACAAAATAGAAACCGCGCGGGACACACAAAATGACCACGTTACACGCGACTAGCGATAATTCGCTATTGACTCGACACACACACACTCGACATCATGACCCATCATATACACACTATTATAAGCATGAAAGATATATTTATTTCATGCACTCATTCCATTCCATGCACACACGCATGCACGCACACGGACAACAAGCCGAGTGCAAACCGTAGGGTTGCACCAACATGAAAAGACCCGAGATAAGCAAATTAGTATCCTGATAGCAATATAGTAAGCCTTGAGAGTCGTTATTGTGGCTGATATTCACCTAACTTTATGAATAGTCTTAACTTGAATGAATGAATGATGCTGAGCGTTCAGATTTATACGTTCTAATGCTTCTCAAGAATGTGCCTTTACAAGAAAAAGTGAGGTGCAAAGTGAGCTTCAGCCAGGCAACAAATTCCTCTAAAACCAATGCAGCATTGGCATGTTACCTACGTATGCGCCCACATCCACATGCATCTTCCACACTGCAACAATCACACCGCTGCACGAAACCCTAGCAATTCACTCGCACCCACCCAATCGTTTCTTATTTCCCCGTCTTCACAACCTTGCCACACAGCGCGAGCTGCTTCCCTTGGCGTCCTACAATCACACGTGATGCTAATGCTATCGGTTCGGTCCTATTGACTTACGGGCGTTGGCCTCTGAAGGCATCCCCATCTCAACACCAAGCCGAAAGCTGTAATGCTTGCGAGCATTGGGTCGTGTGATGTTAAAAAAAAATTCTGTTTCCGCCAAAACAGCCGTGGAGCAAGAACTTCCGTAACCCAATTTGTGTTTAAAAGAAGAACCTTACCAACGATGCTGTACAACGATGCAGCGTACCTGCCAAGGGGGAAAGGAGATGATATTTTAGTCGAATCAAAAGGTGACTTAAGATTAGACTTAAAAATCACCTTACCGACCATTCTGTACGAGGACGCAGAGAAGAGCACCTGTCAAGGGGGAAAGGAATAACGTTTTACAGAGTAGTGCCAATGCACTGCGTAAATGCTCCTTCAACTGCTGTTTTTTTTGTGGTCGCATAAATAAACGAGATGGAGCCTAACTCGCAAAAACTCTTAATAGTCAGTGTGGCTTCACGGGAATAGTGTCAGCGTCAGTGGGACAAGAGAACGAGGGGATTATTGGACGAGGAAACGAGTGAACGAGGGGACAAGTGAACGAGGGGACAAGTGAACGAGGGGACAAGTGAGCGAGGGGATTATTGAACGAGGGGGGAGCGGCGCACCTCACTGCCTTGACCAGAACCCTCCCCGAAGCTCCTGCATCACCGACCATTTTCCCGTTGACCATGGTCGGACGCAGTTTGACCACGTATTTCACTAGACACTGGAACGGGAGGGATTAGGGAGGACGAAAAAGGTAGGTAGCTGTTGAGTAATTCTGATCTGACGTCATCACAAACGAGAATGCAAAGGATGGGGAAGGAGAGGAACATTCAGCTGCAGAAAACACTCAGGCAGCAGCAAACACTCAGCTGCAGCAAACACTCAGCTGCAGCAAACACTCAGGTGCAGCAAACACTCAGCTGCAGAAAAAACTCAGCTGCAGCAAGCAATCAGCTGCAGCAAACAATCAGCTGCAGCAAACAATCAGCTGCAGCAAACAATCACCTGCAGCAAACACTCAGTTGCAAAAAACACTCAGCTGCAGCAAACAATCAGCTGCAGCAAACAATCAGCTGCAGCAAACAATCAGCTGTAGCAAACAATCAGCTGCAGCAAACAATCAGCTGCAGCAAACAATCAGCTGCAGCAAACAATCAGCTGCAGCATACTTAATTCGTTACCATGCAGCATTGTTTCGTGACGAAAAAACCAGGAGACATTTCAGGTACTATTGCTCCTTTTCAGATTCTACTCCCTTCACCCAGAAACAAGAAGCTACCAAAATAGGGTTTTGATTTTTTTTGCCATGTATGTGTACGGTGAGTATACAGCCAACCCTGGGCCGTCTGTTAAGAAGCCGCCACTACTGGAAAACCGCCAGCACTCAGGAGAATGGTTACTTCAGGTTTTGGCAAGGTTTCAATCGATTCTAAACACTTACCAAGAGGTTTTCCCTTATAGGGCCTGGCCTGAGCGGCAGAAATGTCAGATGCGGTAGAAGACTCGTTGCCTTGGTGTGAGAGGAATGGTGTAACGCATTGCCTAGCTAATCCTACCAACCAACTTCCCTCTAGTCAAATGTCGAGAGTTTTCTCGACAAGGAGGGACTTGGAGAAGAAGGTTGGGTTTGGTTGGGATGTTAGGATTGGATTGGTTTTCCAAACCTCAACCAAGAGGATTGGGAAATTCCAACCCATCAAAGTGGAATGTTGAAGGTTGGATTTCCAACCAATCAAAAACTGCCAATTCAGTGTAACAATCTACTCTATCTTAAAAACAACCATTCAATGGTTCTAGGTTGGGTTTTCCCAACCCAACTAATTGCCACATAGGCTCCAAGCCTAGGAACCCTCCCACCATGGCAACCATGGTTGGGAGAGTTCCCAAAGGGGTGTATTGAGGGGGTTTGAGCTTCCAAGCTCATTCTCAACCTCCCACTCCAACTAACCAATTGGAAATGGGATTGTTTTACCCAAGTCATTGGGAGCTCTCTCACAAGCCTTCCTACACAATTCTCTCAAGCCTTTTCAACAACTCCTTCAAGAAGATTGACACCTCCAAGGCTATTGGGAGCTAGCTAGAGCTTCAACTTGTATTGGGATTTATTATAAAAGCTTTGTAACTCCATTATAATAGCCTTGGGTGTTACATTGGTATATAGAGCAAGGTTCTTCCTTGGCCTTGTGTGACCATTTGCTACTAGGATTATTTTTTTCTAGAGGATCCTAGGTTGTGGATCTAGGATTTCATCCAAGGAGTTATCAAGATCTTGAAGATATTGAAGAAATTTCAAGATCTACAAGTGGTTCTTCAAGATCTACAAAAGCTTCTACAAGATCTCCAAGCTTCAAGCTTCAATCTCTTCAACACACCATTGGAGCTACAAGATCTACAAAGAGCTCATTTTTCTTCATCAACATTGAGAAGAAATTTGAAGATATTAATTTCTCTTACCCACCTTTGGTGGAAGACTCTAACCTACTTTTGGTAGAAGAGTGTATCTTCAGATCTACAAGGACTTGTTGTGGATTTCTCTTTTGAGTATATCTTGCTCTATCATTGAGGTGATAGAGAGATTTAGCAAACAAGTCAATCTTAAGAGATTCTGTATTGGATGATTCTATAAGAGTAATTAGATTTCTTAAAGATTATTATAAGATCTGTTAAGATCTCCTCTCCTTAACCTGTTTCATGGCTTCTGGTCAAGAGATGGATGCTACTAAGGAGGTGCCTATTGCTGGCAATGAGGGAGATAATGCTGCTGCTGCTGCTGACATTTATCTCAACCTTGAAGACTTCGTGGTTGACATGGAGATCAATGGAAGTGAAGTTGACCTTGAGGCTGATGCTGAAAATGAGGATGAGGGTGGCTCTGATGAGGGTGTCTTCAACGAGACTGAGAACATTGCTGTCAAGCTCCAGACTCAACTCACGGAGCAAAATATTCTCATTGGAGAGCAGCACTGCCGCATCCAGAACTTGGAGGCTGATTCTATTAAGCTCCAGGCCTTGATTGAGAAGCTGACTAGGGAGGTGCAGTCGATCCCTAAGGAGAACGACACCTCCAGCTTCATTCAGGACATGCATACCACTCTCCAGTTCGTGCAGGATTAGCTCAAGAAGCAAGAGAAAAACATCTCTGTGCTTCAGATCAGTACAGGGAGATTCGGCGTGGAAACCTCTATCAGCCTGCTCCTGCAGCAGAGCGAGTCGCCAACGCCGCTAACAGCCAGTCTGCACGTGCTGCTGCACCTCCTGCTGTTCCTCCTCCTTCTAGAGTACGTGTTGAGCCTCCTGCTGTAGCAGCAACTACCTTTGGCTCCTGCCCTTCGGCCCTGCCTCGTTTTGTCCATGGCAAGACCGACGTCGAGACTTGGCTCTCCGTTGCGAAGGACTTTATGTCCATCCACAATGTGCGTAGTGAAGCTCGTGTGGTCGCTGCAACCCTTGCCTTGGACGACACTGCGAGCAAGTTGGTGTATGCCAACAAGCGTCACGCAGAGGCTAATGGCCATCCTTTTGGCTGGGAGGAGTTCAAAGCTGCCATGCTGGCGGCATTCCTGAGTCAGCCCCCGGCGCTCGAGGTGCGTAGCCGCCTGGAGAACATCCAGTGCGGTGACCAGCCTGTACGCGAGTACGCCAAGGAGTTTGAGAAAATTCTGTCGCTGCTGAAGACTGCTCTTCCTGAGAGCGAGGTCATCCACCAGTTCTTCAAGGGACTCCCTGAGCACATCGAGCGTGTGCATGTTGTGCGCGGGGAGCACCAGTGGAGGACCTACAAGGAGTGCAAGGAGCAGGTCATTGACACGGATGTCAATTTCCGTGCGTACATGACTCACGCTCGTGCTCAGCAGCAGCCTAGTGCCGAAGGCCCTAGGGGGGGTGGTAGCAGGACTCAGGCACACAGGAGCGGTGGCTCTTGGAAGAGGCCCTATCAGCAGAAGGGGGAATCCTCTGGGACTCAGTCCAAGAGGGCCCATGCTGGGCCTGCCAAGGATCCTCAGGATGAGGATAAGCCCCCGGCGGGCTGCCGCATCTGTGGCAAGCTCGGCCACAAGTCCTATCAGTGCCGTTGAAGGAAGTCCGTCAAGAACTCCGGCAAGTCCTACCAGGGCAAGAAGCCGGATGGTTCTGGCCCTTCGGGCTCGAAGGATTTTCCGAAGTCCAACTAGGGGGTGGGTACCTAGTTGGTGAGCGAGATCGAGTAGATGAGGCTTATGTCCTTCGTGACGAGGATTTGCTAAAGCTAGAGAAGCTTGCATCATTCAAAATCGCTTGTTTGTATGCCTCTTCTATTAATGAAAAATCTGTTTCTAAAACTCGATCACACCCACTTGAAAACATCTCAATTAAATCCTTGAGAGATAAATGTTCAATCATCTCTTGCTCGTTCAACGAGTTGCCAACAATCATGGATATTGTGGACCGTTGTGTCCAAGAGCATCCGCTCACGTCAGTGGGATTGGTGACTCGAATCGTGAAAGGAGAGTTATTCCGCCGCTTTCACGAATGGCATATCCTAGCAACATGGGACAAAGGGCACCACGTCTAGTGGACCAGCTCCCAAAGGTTTGGACGTGCTCACAACAAATTTAGGGTGTACTATGGACCTTCTAAACGTGTTGTCGCTTGTCCCATCCGTCCAAGATTGCAACAGAATCTACTGTTATCTGGACGCATGAATGGGGCCGAAGCAATGATTCTCGTTGATACAGGCGCGTCGGTTTTCCTTGTTGATGAAACTTGGGTCACGAAACGCAACGTCCTCGTTGTAGGACCGTCATGTCCCATCCGCTTCGGTGACGATCGTGTCATTCCAAGTAAAGGACAGACACATATCGACATGAATGTACAGGACTATAGCGAAACAGTTCGCGTGTATGTCCTACCACTTTTGTCGGTGTCGACCTCATCCTGGGCATGGATTGGTTGCGAGCCAACGAAGTCATTCTGGACTTCCAGTACAACAATGTCTCGTTCAACAAGAACGGAAAGGCAATACAGTGACAAGTCAATGATACTTTGCCCACTGAAAAACAGACGCCTGAACGTCCCAGCGCGCTGTGTGTGTTGGCCAACCAGTACGGGCATTCCGTTAAGTCGGCTGATACACTGTTCGTGGTACAGCTTGAGAATGCTGAGGCCTCGGAGCCAGCAATTGAGGATTTCCCTCCTCAGATGCAAATACTGGCAGAGGAATTTAAGGAAGTGTTTGAAACCATCCCTGATGGACTTCCACCTGACCGCGCAGTGGGCCACACCATCCCTGTTGAACCAGGAAAGGTTCCACCCTTTCGACCTCTGTATCGCCTCAGTCCAGCTGAGTACGAGGAGGCTAAACAACAGATCGAGGAATACCTCAGAAAAGGATGGATTGAACCCAGTGCATCCCTTTACGGAGCACCGATTTTGTTCGTTAACAAGAAGGGCGGGGGATTACGCATGTGCGTAGACTATCGTGCCTTGAACAAGATTACGGTGAAGAACCGATACCCTCTACCACGCATAGAGGATTTGTTTGATCGGCTCCAAGGAGCTCAGTGGTTCAGCGTGTTGGACTTAGCTCAAGGCTATCATCAGCTGCGCATCACTGAGGAAGATGTTCCTAAAACGGCTTTTCGAACGCCGTTTGGACATTTTCAGTGGCGTGTGTTAAGTTTTGGCTTGACAAATGCTCCCGCGTCATTTCAGCGAGCAATGAATGATGTGTTTCGGGAGGCAATCGGCCAATTCGTCTTGGTATACTTGGATGATATCCTCGTTTACTAAGACTAAAGAAGAACGCACGCAATACCTGAAATGGGTGTTAGGAAAACTGCGAGAGCATAAATTCTTTGCTCGGTTGTGGAAGTGTCACTTCTACAAACGCGAGTTGGAATACCTTGGTCACTTGGTAGGCAACGATGGCCTCAAAGTTGATCCAAAGAAAGTGGCGGCAGTCCAAAAGTGGTCCGTTCCACAGGACGTGGGACAGGTCAGATCATTTCTTGGACTTGCAAATTATCTTCGCCGTTTCTTGGAGAATTATTACCCCGTAGTTGCTCCACTGACTGCCCTCACTCGCAAGGGCAATGCTTGGCACTGGACCGATCAGTGCCAGAAGGCATTTGAGGAAGTGAAAACCATGCTGACCAATGCTCCAGTGCTGGTTTTGCCAGACCCGTCCAAGCCCTACGAGGTAGTAACTGATGCCTGGACAGTAGGGATTGGAGTAGTTCTTTTGCAAGAAGGACGCCCCGTGGCATTTGAGAGTAGAAAGCTTTCCCCGGCTGAGCAGCGCTATACAACTTCCGAACAGGAATTGTTGGCGGTTGTGCATGCGCTACGAACATGGAGATGTTATCTCGAAGGTGTTGACTTCGTGGTCACGACCGACCACTGTCCGAACACCTATTTTGCCACTCAAGCCACACTCACACGCCGTCAAGCCCGATGGGCTGAACTCCTTAGTGGGTTCACCTATGATAATAGATATCGAGCGGGCTCGACAAACATGGCTGATCCTCTGAGCAGACAGCCGATTGGGGCAGCAACGGGTGTTGATGATAATGAACATGATGCAGTGTTTGCTGCTTGTTTCAGCATCCTCGCAGCTGCTCGAGTGAGCGAGATTGCCTTTGGTGGTTTTCTGAAACGCATTCGCGCAGGGTATGATATTGACCCTTGGTTTCGGAACCCACATAATACAAAGGATCTCTTGTGGGAGCACGAGCTCTGGTGGCACAAGAAAGAAATTGTTGTCCCACATGTGGGAAACCTGCGGAATGATATTACAGCAGAGGTGCACGCCACTAAGTATGGAGGACACCTGGGTGTCAAGAAAACCCGGTGGGCCCTCAATGATGTATACTGGTGGCCGGGATTGGGCATTGAGGTCCAGAAGTTTGTAACTCGCTGTAACACGTGTGCATGGAACAAGCCGAGCACACAGAAGCCTGGTGGTTTGCTTGTAATTATACATTTGTAGTCCGAACAAATTTCTTGAACTATTACTAATTTGACGGGTTCAACTGCAGAATTTCGAAGTATCAAGAGATATAGTTTTTTATTGATAGCAGCATATTGTAAATATCAACAATGCACTGTATCGCTCGCCTACAAGCTCCGCTCCATCCCCATTATTCATTCATCCTTGCACAATGAGCAACAGGGGACCAGCCCTGTGCTTCTCGCTCACACGGCGACTGGCGGTGGTGTCTCGCTACCCGCGGGCGACGTGACATTGCTAATTGCTGCGCCGAATTCGGCATTGCTGTTCGCGGAGGCCATAAACCTTCCGAGATCTCTCAAACGCGAACGCCACGGCGTTGCTTGCGGCGTATAAAAATCCGGCAGGTTTCTCCTTCGCTGCACGATGGTCTGGGGGGAACCGGCCCCAGGCTCGTCGCTCAGACGCCGCGCTGTGGCGACGAGTCGCTACCCGTGGACGACCCGGCAGTGCCTCGTGTGCGTGCTGGCAGTCGCCGCTCTCAACGTACTGCTCTTCCACCTTCACGGTTCGTGTCAACTGCTGCTCTTCCACCTTCACGGTTCGTGTCAACAGAAAACGTGAATCACTTTGACAAATTCTCAGAAGTTACTCGACTCAATGATGCCTGAATCTAAGCAAGTGGTCCCAGGCGGAGAGTGGAGCTCGGAGCTCGCATCACAGGAACAACAGGTGATTGCTGAGACGTCTCAGAACAGCAGCTGATGTTGTCAATGTCGTCGACGGAACCTTAAGAAGTATAGCTACCAGTGCGGTGCAGTGCGGTGCGGTGAGGCGAGGCGAGTCAGCCCTGCGGTGCCACTCAGCCAGTCCAGTACTCAGCTGATTTATAATCCTCGCAGCCAGGCTGAGGACGTGCAGTGAGGTTTGGTAAGGTGAGGTGTGGTGCAACGCAACGAGGTGCGGTGAGGTGCACTGAGGTGCGATAAGGTGAGGTGCAGTGTTGTGAGGTATGGTGAGGTGCAGTGTTGTGAGGTATGGTGAGGTGCGGTAAGGCGAGGTCAGAAATCGAGAAGTTCCACACTTGGGATCACAAAGATGAGGAGAAGGTGGTGCTGTTGGTGGCATCTGTTCCATAATGGCCTGCAGCGAAGCCTGTTCTTAACGCGAATGTGGTTCCTGCTAGATCCTCATCCTCCTATCCCTCCTTTCTTCCCATTACACGCTGATCCCGCTTGCAGGAGACAGTATTGAGGCAGCTTCTAGAGGGTTCCGTGCGCTGATACTAGAGAGCAGTGGGCGCAGGGATGTGACAGTGGGGGGAGAGGATGCAGACTGGGAGGGGGACTCGGCCTGGGATGCTGATGGGGTGGATGGGGAGGGGTTTGAGAATTCTCAAAAACACCCTGCAACAGAGGGGGGTGGAGAGGCCGAGCCAACAACGGACATCAACATGAAGCGGGTTTACGATGGCATCACGTTTGCCAATGAGAAGGGCGGGAAGTGGACCCAGGTGAGGGTTGTGCTCAAAGAATCCCTCCTAGCATGTATTTCTTTCTTTCCTTCTTTCTTTCTTCTTTCTTTCTTCCTTTCCTTCTTCCTTCCTTCCTTCCTTCCTTCCTTCCTTCCTTCCTTCCTTCCTTCCTTCCTTCCTTCCTTCCTTCCTTCCTATCTTCTTTCAATGTGTTTCTGTTTTGTTTGTGCGCGCGCGCGCGCGTGTGTGTGCGTGTGTGTGGTGTGTGTGTGTGTTACCGTTTTTGCTGATTTTTACGTTTCTGAATCTCCTCCTCCCCCCCCCCCCCCCCCACCCCATCTTCCTCATCCTCCCCATCCCCCCCATCAACCCCATCCCTCAGGGGTGGAAGCTGCAGAACTGGGGGTGGGAGATGAGTGGGACGTGGGTGTTTCTGGTGCCTCACTCCCTCCCCACCCTTCCCACACCCCCCGCCATTCTCCCTCGCCCCCGTCCCTCAGGGGTGGAAGCTGCAATACAGGGGGGACGAGTGGGACGAGGAGCCGCTGAGGGTGTTTGTGGTGCCGCACTCCCACAACGACCCTGGCTGGCTGCTCACAGTCGAGCAGTACTACGCCAGGAGCTCGCAGCACATCCTGCACACCATCCTGCACTCTCTCTCCCAGGTCAACACCTCCCTCTCCCAGGTTACTCCCCTCTCTCGCTCCCTCTGCTCATTTCTCCATCTTTCATTCCTCGTTGGTAGCAGCACAACATGCACTCCCACAGCACATCACAGCACTCCCACAACGACCCTGGCTGGCTGCTCACAGTCGAGCAGTACTACGCCAGGAGCTCGCAGCACATCCTGCACACCATCCTGCACTCGCTCTCCCAGATCAACACCTCCCTCTCCCAGGTTACTCCCCTCTCTCGCTCCCTCTGCTCATTTCTCCATCTTTCATTCCTCGTTGGTAGCAGCACAACATGCACTCCCACAGCACATCACAGCACTCCCACAACGACCCCGGCTGGCTGCTGACGGTCGAGCAGTACTATGCCAGGAGCTCGCAGCACATCCTGCACACCATCCTGCACACCATCCGGCACACCATCCTGCACACCATCCTGCACTCTCTCTCCCAGGTGAATATCCTCTTTCGCGTCCTCTGCTTGTGTCCCTGACTCTCATCCGTCGCTGGTAACAGCGCGGCACAGCACTCCCGCAAGCACCCCGACTGGCTGCTGACCAAGATTTGAAAACTACGACCGAAATTTTGTAATTTTACTGTATAATATGATCGTTTAAAACGGTGAAGGTGCAGTGCTATGCCAGGAGCTCTCGGCACATCCTCCACACCATCCTGCTCTCTCTCTCTCTCTCGAATGGTCCGTGTATTAGTTGAAGGGTGATACAAAGGTTTGAAGCAGACACATGCATACTAGACAAACAAGCAGACCTATCAACCATCACCTACCCCACTCCCCCCCCCCTTCTGTCCGACCCTAGTGGTCGGACGGGGGCTCAATCAGCTGGTGCAGCTGCCCCTCATTGAGAGGGGCCCACGGCCCTTGCAGGCTGAGCTCATCCGCTTCCAAGGCCTCATTGGTCTTGGTGCGGAGGGCGTTGGCCTGCGCCCTCTGGAGGCACACGCTCCAGCGCTGGCGGTACTCCGTCAGCAGCTTGGCAGCCTCTCGAGAGGTAGGGGCCGCGTTGTAGCGGAGCTTCGCAGCCAGCTCCGCGCACTGCCGCAGGTAAGCCAGCACCCCCGGCGACGGGTAGCCGTAGGTCTCCACGGCTAAGGCGTGGAACCCCACCCACGCGTTCCGTCCCGCATATTTCTCCTCCTTCCGAGCAGCTGCCGCCCTAGCCGCCCAACCAGGTGCGCGGTTGCTGTTCTCGTCCTGGTAGGACACCGGGTCAGTCACGGTCACATCACAAAGCCACACTTCTCCGGTCAGGGGATGGCGGATGGAGACATCCGCTTTAAGGTTTTCAACCAGAGAATAGGCATAGGTCTCCTTGTGAACCGTGAAGCCCGCTTCCGCCCCTATCCTTGCGATTTCATCCCTGAGAGCATGGTGTGTGGCAGTCCTCCCCTTCCCCTTCTCGCAGCGCATAAGGTGATTCGGGAGGCGGTCATCAGGGAAGGTGGTGCGGTATCGGCAGTCGCACCGCCTTGGGACAGGGAGGGGGAGGCCAAGGCGGAAGGAGGAAGCAGTAGAGTGTTGGGAGGGGCCCAGCCTCAGCGCACAAGAGAGTGGGATTGCCAGCAGCCAGTCCCCTGCTCCCGAGCCCAGCAGGGACTGCATCCGCTGGGCATGCCCTGAGAGGGGGTTTGGGCGCATCCGCCGCGCCGTGTTCAGCACTCGGAGGTAGCGGCGGGTGTGGACTGCCAGGGCCAGGGACTGCTGGAGCTTCAGTCCCTTGGGGTCACTTTTACCAGCCTGAAGGGCCTCCATGCCGTCTGGAGGCAGGGCCGCTTCAGCTGCAGCTAGGCGCGAGGGCAGGGCAGCTGCGGAGTCCGGGATGGAGTCCATAAGGGGGAGCAGTGCGGCTATGGCGGGGTGTAGGGAGTCGGCTAGCGAGTGCAGGAGGTGAGCCGCGCCGATCACCGACGCGAGGTACGCGTAACTTCCTTCCACGGCCGGGTCCGTAATGCCCAAACCCCCCAAGGTAACGGGGAGCGCTGCCTGCCGCCAAATACGCCTCCTTTCCGCGTTGCTCCTTGGCGCGACAATGTGCGCGGCCTCTAGGAACGCGTGGAGCAGCCGCTCCCCCCATGCCGACCATTCTGCTGTGGGCAGGACCTCCAGCGGGGTTGTCCTTGCCAGGAAGGAGGCGCGGCGGCTGACGCAACGTGTGAGGAGGAGGAGGCAGAGCTGCGGGTCCATTTGCGCTAGCAACGGGAGCGGTTCAGCTGCTGCCGTAAGTCTGTCCCTGACTGCCGCGGCGCAGCCCTGCGTTGTGCCGACGGGGCTGCCGAGGATTTGCAGCCCTTCGGTCGAGACGGTGATGCCGGGGGGGACGGAGGCAGGGTCAATTGGGGCGGCGGACCAAGCCGCGCACTTAGCAGGGTTGTGAAGGAGCCCCATGGAGGCGAGCGCGGCTGTGAGGTGGTCGAAGGCCGCGGCGCAGGCGGACGCATCACCGAGCAGCGTGATGTCGTCGGCGTAGGCGAGTAGGACCACCTGCGGGTGAGCCGCTGCCGTCGCAACGAGGCAGGGGTGGATGCTGGTGGCGAATAGAAGGGGGCCGAGGGGATCACCTTGGCGGACCCCCCTGGCGCTTTGCAGTGGAGCCGCTGCGAACTCATGGTCGAGGAAGAGCGAGGAGGGGACTCCGTAAGACAGGCGGACCAGGGGGGTGAGGCTCTCGAGCGCTTCGTTTTTCAACCCCTCGAACACCGCTCTCCTCTCGACCGCGTTGAACGCGTTCGCGAGGTCGATCTGTAGCGCTACTGCCGCGGGATGGACCTCCAGGTAAGTACGTGTCGTGTGAATAGCGGCCTCAATGCCCCCCGCTACCGCCACGCCGAACTGGAGGGGGACGAAGTGAGATCTAGCAGCGGGCGCGATCAGGAAAAGAGCGGCTTTGGCGATGATCCGAAGTAGGCATTCCCCAACCGCGATCGGCCTCGTCCCACCGTGCGGTTTCGTGAAGGCCAAAAGACGAGAGGCGGTAAGTAGCTCTCCCGCAACGGCTGGTAGCTTCCCCGCCAGAGCCGTGTTGGTGAGGTGTGCTGCCTCAATCCCAGCCCTGGCCTTGGTGTGCAGGGCGTTCGCCTGGGAGCGCTGGAGGGCCACTGACCAGCGCTGGCTGAAGTGGCAGGCCATCTTCTTGGCGGATTTCGCCAAGGGGCTGGCCCTGAAGCGGTTCCTAGCTGCTGCTGTGGCCAGCAGTTTCAGGAACGCCGTCGTGGGGGGCGCGTTTGCCCCATAGGTCTCGACGGCCAGGGCGCAGAACACCACGTGTTCAGTGTGTCGGTAGTAGTCCCTCTCCTTCCGCTTCTGTGCCTCCCTTGCAGCCCAACCTGGGGGTTTGCGGGCCGTGGGGTCTCGGTTCTGCAGCACAGGGTCGGTGATCGTGGTGTCTGTGATCCAGGTCTCTCCACTGTCCGGGTCGCGTACAATCACATCTGTTCTTCGGGTCATCCGGAGGTGAGTACATCGCATTCTCCAGGTATACCACCAGCTGCGCCTCCCTCGCCATTTTAGCCATGGCGAAGGCCAGCTGGTTGTGTGTGCGCGTCCTGTCGGGGCCTGTGCTGCAGCGGAGTAAGTGGTTGGGTAGGCTGCAGTCGGCCACGAGCTCTCCACACTCGCACACAGTAGGTACGTTCTGTCGGATGCCCATGCGGAAGGCCAGGGCTGTTCGGAATTGCCCTGGTGAGAAGCAGAGATCTGGAGTCAGGGGTAGGGCTTGCAGCCATGCTCCCGCTCCCTCGCCTCTCAGGCTGACGAGGCGGAGCGTGTGGCCCATCTCGGGGGCTGACCTGATTGAGCGTGATTCCTCTGTCAGGGTGTCGGCCTTTGCCACGTGCACTTCCTGAGAGAGGGCCCGCTGCAACTGGTCTTGGGACGGGGTTTCTTGCTCCTCACGGAGGTGTTGCAGCGCCAGCGGCGGCAGTCGTCCCTCCATGTCTTGGATGGTGACCGAGTGCGCCGCAGACGGCTGCAGGGCGTTGCTGTTGCTCCCTAGCGCCGCGGTTGCTGGCAGGTCGAGTGAGCGGAGCAGGCGTAGTGCCTCTGTCGTTGAGGCCAGGTAGGCTGGTGCTGCTTCTGTTGTGGGATCCGTGAGGCCCAGTCCACCTAGGGCCACTGGGAGGGTTGCTTGGCGGATGAGAAAATTGAACTCGGCTTCGCGGCACGGTGGTTGGATGCTGGCGGCAGTCAGGGCGGTGTTGAGCAGTTCGGCGCACCACGTGTGCCATTCCGAGAGGGGAAGGACATCCGCTAGGGTGGTGCGCAGCAAGTAGCCGATTCTGCGGCTGATGCAGCGGGACAGGAGCAGGAGGGCATGCTGTGGATGGATGGATGCTAGGGAGCCCAGGGGTGTCGCCGCGTCTGTCAGAGTACTGCGGACCAGGTCAGAGCAGAAGCGCTGTGACCCCACGGGACTTCCCAACACCCGTACCCCCTCGTGGGTGAGTGGGAGGCCCTCGGGGAGCTCGTCACCCTCAAGCGGCGTCGTGGACCACGCCGACGATTTTCTGAGGTTGCAGGTGAGGCCATCCTGGGCGAGCAGCGGCGTCAGCAACTTAAGCGCGCCGAGCGTTGCTGTCGCCGGTCCGATCATGGTGATGTCATCTGCGTATGCTAGGATCGTGACTTCTGGGTGCTCTGCTGCTGTGCGTCTGAGGTGCTGCTCGATTGATGCCGCGAACAGCAGGGGTCCGAGGTGGTCCCCCTGCCTAACTCCCCTTCCGCTGGTAAGTGCCGTCGTGCTCAAGCGGGGATCGGTCAGCAGCTGAGAAGGCGTTGCGTAGAAGGAGCGGGTGAAAGGTATGAGCGGTGCTAGCGGGGTGTTGGTGAGTGCGTTGAAGAACGCTTTCCTCTCTACGGAGTTGAAAGCGTTTTCAATGTCGAGTTGGAGGACTAGGCTGGAAGGTTGTGAAGTGGTGAGGTCTCTGACTGCATGTATAACGAACTCAGCTCCGCCTGGGACTGCCACACCGAATTGTTGGGGTAAGAAAAATCGCCTTGTTTCTCCCTGCAGTTCCGAGAGTGCAACCTTTGCTGCCAACCGGAGTAGGGATTCCCCTATCGCGATAGGGCGTACCCCCCCCCCTGGTTTCGCGAAGGCGATGAGGCGGGATGGCGAGAGTAGTGCTGCAACCTCGGTGGAAAGATTCGTGGAGAGAAGATGTGTTACGGCGGAGTGCAGGTGCCCCAGCACTTCGATGTTGCTTAGGGCTGGGTCGCGGTAGTGTTCAAATGTTGACCCTGATGGACCAGCCCCAACTCCGCTGGGGCAATCCCCAAGGACGTCTGAGAAACTTTCCGCGGTGCACGAAAATTGCGTGGGTGTTGTGTAGGTGTGGACCCAGTCGGGCAGCTCAACTTGGGGTTGGGGATGTTTCAATTCCAACTGCTGCAATGTTGCGATCGTCGCAGGGGCCGCTGGCGAGGGTGAAAGGGCTGCCAACGCTTTTCGCAGGTTACCCCGTTTCACCAACCCCTCCACACGTGAGCAGATTCCCAGGGGGTCATTTTGGTGCTGAGGTGGCTCAGCTTGGTGCAGGGACCCCACGTAGTCACTGTACAGCTGGTTCCAGTGGTCACATCTGAATAGGTGCATCTGCTCTCGCAGCACCTTCCACCTAGAGCTGGACCTCCTGCTAAGTCGTAAGGTGAGACGTGGCAGGAACATGAGGACCCGCCACGCTCCCGCGCAGTTTGGCAGTTTGGAGATCCGTAAGAGGGCGGCCAGCATACAGGTGGATTAGTCGCTTAGTATCTGCGGCGGCAGGCGGCGGACGATAGGCAGGTGGGTGGTTGACGTTAGGGTTGAAGAGTCCCAGCTCATCGCGATCTGGAAGAGATCCTCCCTCGATGCCAGCTGGGACGCTGACAGGGCTTGGTCCGGAGGGGGTTGGGGTCTGCGGTTCTGTCGGCGTCTAGAACCTCTCTCCTGCTGCTGCGCCTGGTCCTCCCCCGCTTCCGCGAGAGGTGAGTCGGGGTTGTCGGGTTGCCTCAGATCTGACGGTACATATTCGTCGCCGCTCCCTTCTGCGTTTGTATCACCGATTCTCACTGCTTGCGCTGTCGTTCCCCCTCTCCCCCCGCGTCTAGCAAACGACTGGCGCGTGACTCGTTCCGCCGGCTCCCCCAACCAGATTGGGCTCGGTAGTTGGCGCGGATTCCCCCTCGCCGCTTGGCCTGCACTCCGCTGTCCTCCGCGCGCTCCTCGACCCCCGCCTCTCCCCCGCGTGCTTCCCCGTCCGCTCCTCGGAGTGGCTGCCACAGGTGCCGCCTGTTGCGCTTGGGAGATCGGCGTCGTCGGCTCCTCTTGTGGCAGTGGAGCGCCCTGAGCGCTCGCCGATGGATTTCCTCGGCGCTCTGGGCCGCGACTGCACCGCGGAGAGCGATCCCGCTCCCCGTCCGCTTCCTACTGCACGCCCTGCCGCGAGCGTACCTGTTGCTCCGCCGGCGTCCGCTGATCAGATCCGCCGCCGCTTCGAGGACCAGCAGCGCGAGCTGGCTCGGCGCGCGGGCAGGTCCTTGTCACCGCCGGAGCCCCTGCGCGTGGGGTCCGTCTTGCGCTCCGGCGCAGAGGCTGTGGCGCACCAGGAGCGTTCGCCTCGCCGTCGCTCATCGGCAGCTCGCGACGATAAGCGGGAGAGCCGCCGCGATGATCGTCACGGTGCGGCCCGTTCGCCGCTGTCGCCTCGTTCGCCTCGTCGCGTGGCGTCGCGAAGCCGATCCCGTGACCGCCGCTCGCATCGTCATCGTTCGCCCCCTCACCGTTCATCTCGTCAGCGGTCGCCTGCCCGCCAGACGTCTGGGCGTCGGCCCCCAGCTCCGCGTTCGCCCCCTCCTGCAAAGCGCCAACGGCTCTACTCCCCTTGTCGCGGGGACCGTTTCCCTGGCCGCCAGCATCAGCAGGGCCCATCTCGCCCGCAGTCGCCTGTGCGCTCGAGCGCAAGTGGGCGTGCGCGTCGTGGGCGACGGGGAGGTGACAGTCGCGGCGGAAAAGCGCGTCCAGCGCCGTCCGCAATGGAGCGCCGTCTTCTGGATAGGCTTGATGATGTGGAGAAGGAGCTTCGTCGCTCGCGTGCGGGGTCGGCGTCACCATCAGCTCCTCGCGCTGCTCCCGTCGTCCCTCTCTCCGCGCTCCTGCCCCACAATCCCTTTGGATCCCCGGCTCGTTCAGAGCGGCCGCTGCCTGCGGGGATGGGCTTCGTAGGTGCTGGTGGCGGGCCGCCGTGGGCTCAGTTTGCTCCGCCGCGTCCTCTTCCTGCTCCGCGTGATCTCGCCGTGTCGTCTCACCGTGCCTGCGCGTCTGCGTTGCTTCCGCCGATGAAGGAAGTTCCCACGGCGACCCTGGCCCGCCTATGGTCGCTGGCGGCGTCCCTGCAGAGCCTTGAGCGGATTCTCCAGGAGTCATTTGACTCCATGCCGGTGAGCCCTCCGAGCAGGTTCTTTCAGAAACCGCGAGCAGATTGTCATGCGGCGGCGTCAGCGCTATTCGCGCTCGTAACGCCACTGCAGGTAGCGCCCTCGCCGGGAGCAACCTCGGCCAGCCAGCTGGCTCACTCGGCCCTGGCTCTGAGGACGCTTGTAGCAGGCCCTGGTACTCCTGTTGACGTTGTAGGCGCCACCGTGTTAGTGGTCCGCCAGTTGTGGTTGAACACGAGCGGAATGCTCGCTGCGGTAGAGGCGGACCGCATGTAGGCGCTCCCCCCTTGCGTGTGTAGACCCGTTCCATCGTCGTCTTGCTAAGTGTTCTTGCTTGCCTTGCTTGTATCGGTTGCCTAAGCTACTACTGCTTGTTGTTCCCCCTTGCCATCCCTAACGCGCGGCCGAAGGCCGCGCACGCGAGCGCCGGCGGCCGAAGGCCGCCGGCGCGAAGCGCCGAAATTTTCAGCACTAACTGAAAGAATGAGAGATGGAGAGGCCGCCGTGGCCTTAAGTACTCATGGCAGAGGGCAGAAAGCAGAGGGCAGAGGGTAGAAGGGGAGAGGCTAATCCTCTCTCTCTCTCTCTCTCTCGAATGGTCCGTGTATTAGCTGAAGGGTGGTACAAAGGTTTGAAGCTTGACACATGCAAACTAGGCAAACAAGCAGGCCTATCAACCATCACCTACTCCCCTCCCCCCCCCCGCTGTCCGACCCTAGTGGTCGGACGGGGGCTCAATCAGCTGGTGCAGCTGCCCCTCGTTGAGAGGGGCCCACGGCCCTTGCAGGCTGAGCTCGTCCGCCTCCAGGGCCTCATTGGTCTTGGTGCGGAGGGCGTTTGCCTGCGCCCTCTGGAGGCACACGCTCCAGCGCTGGCGGTACTCCGTCAGCAGCTTGGCAGCCTCTCGAGAGGTAGGGGCCGCGTTGTAGCGGAGCTTCGCAGCCAGCTCCGCGCACTGCCGCAGGTAAGCCAGCACCCCCGGCGACGGGTAGCCGTAGGTCTCCGCGGCTCTCTCTCTCTCAGGTCACTCCTCTCACTCCCAGGTTACCCCCCTGTTCAGGTATTGTATTAGAGTTTTTTCAGATGCTTCATATTGTTCTGTCACTGTGACCTTGTGACCTTGGTGCTTTGGTTGTTAATCTTCCAGAACTTTGGTCCTTCGAACTTTGTGCTCTGGTCCCGTTCCTTTCGTACTCCCCACCCCACCAGTCCCCCGCTCGCCGCTTCATTTGGGAGGAGATGTCGTATTTGAGCCGCTGGAGGGTGAGAGGGAGAGGACTGGTTCTTCACTCACAGCCCTCCCTGTAACCTTATGGACCTCTAAACCTGCCCTAATTCTTACAACCCAACCCCACCCAACTCCTTTCTTTTCCAGTCCCCCTCTCGCCGCTTCATATGGGAGGAGATGTCGTATCTGAGCCGCTGGTGGATGGACGCCACAGAGGAGGAGAGGCAGGGGATGCGGGCGCTGGTGCAGTCAGGGCAGCTGGAGATTGTGGGGGGCGGGTGGGTTATGAACGACGAGGTGAGCTGTGCAGGAGGGGAAGGAGGTGGTTATGTGATCTATTTAAGGATGAGGAGGGCGCTGGTGCAGTCAGGGCAGCTGGAGATTGTGGGGGGCGGGTGGGTCATGAACGACGAGGTGAGTGGGATGATGGGGGGAAGAGGGTAACTTTGTGAATCGATTTATTAAAGGATGAGGAGGGCGCTGGTGCAGTCGGGGCAACTGGAGATAGTGCGGGGAGGGTGGGTCATGAACGACGAGGTGAGCTGGGGATTGGTTGGAGGGAAGAGGGCTGTGAATGGAATGGAAGCTGGAGAAAGCGAGAGCTTGAGGCCGCTGGTGCAGTCGGGGCAACTGGAGATAGTGCGGGGAGGGTGGGTCATGAACGACGAGGTGAGCTGGGGATTGGTTGGAGGGAAGAGGGCTGTGAATGGAATGGAAGCTGGAGAAAGCGAGAGCTTGAGGCCGCTGGTGCAGTCGGGGCAACTGGAGATAGTGCGGGGAGGGTGGGTCATGAACGACGAGGTGAGCTGTGGGAGAGGGGGAGGGGTTAGGCTGGCTGCTTACTTGTTGAGCGAAGCTGTGAAATGGAGAGCTTTATGGTGCCGTGCCGTGTGTACGAGCGCTTTTTTTGAGACATCTCAAAAATTCACTTGTTACACGTGGCTTGAGGGACGCTGTGAAAGGGAGAGGTTTATTGTGCCGTGCCGTGTGTACGAGAGCTTGAGAGAGCTCTGGTTGTGCGGACAATGTAGCTGGAGATTGTGTGGGGGGAAGGAAGGGTGGGTCATGAATGATGAGGTGAGTAGGAGAAAGGAGGGAATGGGGCAGCTGCACAAGTTGTCAAAGGCATGTCCTTTTAATCGGCGAGACCAAATTTTGAGGCGCCTCGTTTTTTTTTAAAGCGCCTAGAATCTTTTGAGGCGCCGTCTTGGTTGGGGAGCGATGCTGTAAGGCATGCCCTTTTAGAGCGATGCTGTAAGGCATGCCCTTTTAGAGCGATGCTGTAAGGCATGCCCTTTTAGAGCGATGCTGAAAGGCATGCCCTTTTAGAGCGATGCTGTAAGGCATGCCCTTTTAGAGCGATGCTGTAAGGCATGCCCTTTTAGAGCGATGCTGTAAGGCATGCCCTTTTAGAGCGATGCTGTAAGGCATGCCCTTTTAGAGCGATGCTGTAAGGCATGCCCTTTTAGAGCGATGCTGTAAGGCATGCCCTTTTAGAGCGATGCTGTAAGGCATGCCCTTTTATTCAGCAAGACCAATCCAGTCTCCATGCTTATTTTCTTGCTTTCGTAAAATAACAGAATCAACCCCACCATCTCCCCCACGCTGTGCTTTCAACTCCATTCCATTGCAGGCCAACTCGCACTACTATGCCATAATTGAACAGGTGCGTGGAGCGAGCCTAGCTTGCAGTCAAGAGGGCGTTTGAGGGAGAACAGGTGAGGGAGAACAGGTGAGGGAGAGCAGGTGAGAGCGAACAGGTGAGAGCGAACAGGTGAGAGCGAACGGGTGAGAGCGAACAGGTGAGGGAGAGCAACTTGAGACTGAGGCTCAACTTCACCCATGAGGCTCAACTTCACCCATGAGGCTCAACTTCACCCATGAGGCTCAACTTCACCCATAACTAAACAGTTTAATAGTCGAGGCCAGCTAGTTCTTTACGCGGCCCTAAAACAGGTGAGCCTAGAGCCAGAGTAAGCTCTGGAAGCACAGCATTCAGCTTCCAGACTTTGACTGCTACAGAACCTACCCCATTCACCTCTTTCCCCATCGCCATCCCCTTGCCTTAAGTTTCTCTTGTCAGGATAAGAACCATACTGAAATTCATCCTCTCCTCTCTTTCTTCCCCCATCCCCACACCTGCTCTCCCCCTCCTCCGCCCCAGCTCACAGAGGGCAACACATGGCTGTATGACACGCTAGGAGTGACGCCCACCAACAGCTGGGCCATCGACCCCTTTGGCCATTCTGCCACCATGCCATACCTTTTGAAAAGGTGGGTGGGGTGGGGGTCGGAGTTGGAGTGACGCCCACCAATAGCTGGGCGATTGACCCTTTTGGCCACTCCGCCACCATGCCATACCTTTTGAAAAGGTGGGTGGGGCCATTTTGTGGCTCTGGTGGTGCTGGGTATCTGGGTTGGTCTATGTGTACGACAAGATTGGAGTTGGAGTGACGCCCACCAACAGCTGGGCCATCGACCCCTTTGGCCATTCCGCCACCGTGCCATACCTCCTGAAAAGGTGGGTGGGGTGGGGCCCTTTAGTGGCATTGGTAGTGGTGGGTAACTGGGCTGGTCCGTATGTACGACATACTCGCAGTGACACACACACACCAACAGCTGGGCGATTGACCCTTTGGCCATTCCGCCACCATGCCATACCTCCTGAAAAGGTGGGTGGGGGGCTTTTGTGGCGCTGGGAACTGGGCTGGTCTGTATAACATGCTTGCGTGACACTCCCGGAATGACGCCCACCAACAGCTGACTTTTGAGTCGACTCAAAAGTCACCTTTTGTGGCGCTGGGAACTGGGTTGGTCTGTATGACATGCTTGCATGACACTCCTGTAATGACGCCCACCAACAGCTGGGCCATTGACCCTTTTGGCCATCCTGCCACCATCCCATACCTTTTAAAGAGGTGGGCCTCCGATCCGAACCTCCCTTGTCCTGCTCCAAACCTCCATTGTGCTGCTCCGACTCTCCCTACCCTCGTTCTAAGAAGTCAAATCAGCGCACGCACTACGAGGTGAAGAGAAGACACCTACTGAATCCATTTGTCCCGCCCCTTGTTATCCCCGTTTGCATCAGATCTGGGTTCGCCAACATGCTCATTCAGCGCACGCACTACGAGGTGAAGAAGGCCCTGGCGAGGCAGAAGCACCTCGAATTCTTCTGGCGCCAGGCATGGGACCACACAGGGGGTGCCATGGGCCAGTCAGGGGATGCGATGAACGATGAGCAGTCCGGAGGCACGATGGGTGATGACCAATCAGCGGCAGCAGCAACAGGGGCGGCAGAGGAGGCGGCGGCGGCGGCAGCAGCAGCAGCAGGGGGGTTGGAGGAGGAGGGCAGCACGGATATTCTATGCCACATGATGCCTTTTTACTCGTATGACATTCCACACACCTGTGGGCCCAACCCAGGTGTGTGCTGCCAGGTGCGTCCCTGTAACACACATGTGAGGCTAGTGGAACTGATTCAGCAGCGTATATACACACGTATGTTTCCAAGCATGGCTGGTTATTGAGTTGACAAGGCTTCTTGACTTGTGAAGAGCCTGTGAAAGGCACATTCTGAGGTGCAGTTTGCTCCATTCACTTGTTCTCTCATCCCACTGCTGAGTTCCCATCAACATCATAAGCAAGTGCAGTTTGCTCCATTCACTTGTGCTCCCACTTCGCAGTTCCCATCACCAGGAACAAACCTCTCCTCGTTCTCTCTCCCTCTCCCTCACCTCTGTGTCCCATCTGGCAGTTTGACTTTCTGCGGCGCACAGGCACGCAGCACTGGTGCCCGTGGGGGCAGGACGCCTTGGCCCTCACCAGAAACAAGCACAGTACACACATCTTTATTCCACTTAGCTTCTCATTCTCTATCCCTCTCCCTCACCTGTGTGTCTCCTCTGGCAGTTTGACTTTCTGCGGCGCACAGGCACGCAGCACTGGTGTCCGTGGGGGCAGGACGCCATGCCCATCACCAGGAAGAACATCGCTCAGCGCGCACAGCTGCTCGTGGACCAGGTGGGATGGGATAAGTTGGTAGGTGGGGCAAGGTGGGGGGGCAGGACGCCATGCCCATCACCAGGAAGAACATCGCTCAGCGCGCACAGCTGCTCGTGGATCAGGTGGGATTGGATTGTGCAATGGGATGGACCAGGTGGGATTGGATTGTGCAATGGGATGGATCAGGTGGGATTGGATTGTGCAATGGGATGGACCAGGTGGGATTGGATTGTGCAATGGGATGGACCAGGTGGGATTGGATTGTGCAATGGGATGGACCAGGTGGGATTGGATTGTGCAATGGGATGGACCAGGTGGGATTGGATTGTGCAATGGGATGGACCAGGTGGGATTGGATTGTGCAATGGGATGGACCAGGTGGGATTGGATTGTGCAATGGGATGGACCAGGTGGGATTGGATTGTGCAATGGGATGGACCAGGTGGGATTGGATTGTGCAATGGGATGGACCAGGTGGGATTGGATTGTGCAATGGGATGGACCAGGTGGGATTGGATTGTGCAATGGGATGGACCAGGTGGGATTGGATTGTGCAATGGGATGGACCAGGTGGGATTGGATTGTGCAATGGGATGGACCAGGTGGGATTTGATTGTGCAATGGGATGGACCAGGTGGGATTGGATTGTGCAATGGGATGGACCAGGTGGGATTGGATTGTGCAATGGGATGGACCAGGTGGGATTGGATTGTGCAATGGGATGGACCAGGTGGGATTGGATTGTGCAATGGGATGGACCAGGTGGGATTGGATTGTGCAATGGGATGGACCAGGTGGGATGGGGATGGGTGCTAGGCGGGTCCAGTGGGGGGACAGGACTCCTCTCCATCCCCATCACCAGGAACAACATCGCTCAGCGTGCACAGCTGCTGGTGGATCAGGTGGGATTGATGGTGGGGTGGGGATGAGTGGGTGGGATGGTGCCACTTCCGCTTTTACACACGCATAGGGGACTGGTGCCCGTGGGGGCAGGACGCCATGCTCATCACCAGGAAGAACATCGCTGAGCGTGCACAGCTGCTCGTGGACCAGGTGGGATGGGATGAGTGGGCAGGGATGGTGTATTCTTGGGGATGAGTTATTATGTGGGGATGGTGAATCAGTCAGCCAACCCCCTCTTGTAGATAGGTTATTTTTTACCACAGCTACGAGCTGCTCTTAGCCTTCATCAACGCAAGAAAGTCCCGTTCCTCCCTCCGACCTTTGCTGTTCCCACTGTTCCCCCGTCCTGCTCCTCCCCTGCCCGCTTCCCCCTGCCTCTCTTCCCTCTGCCCCTCTCCCCATCCCCAGTGGCGCAAGAAATCGCTTCTCTTCCGCACCAACGTGCTCCTGGTCCCTCTGGGGGACGATTTCCGTTACTCCTCCATGCTCGAGGCCCAAGCTCAATTCCAAAACTACGAGCTGCTCTTCGCCTTCATCAACTCACGAAAGTCGCTCCGAGTCAACGCCAGCTTCGGCACGCTCGACGAGTACTTCACCGCCATGCGCGCCGCCTCCGCCCGCCAGAGGGTCTCCGTGGAGACTGCAAACCACCAGAAAGCAAACCGGCTCCGTGCCCAGCTGCTGAACCCAGACTTGAAGCTGAACAAGCTGAACGCCAGTGAAGCGACTCAAGAGCCGTCATTCAACCTACTAGACTCATCAGATCAGCACTCACTAGTAGACAGCCAGGAAAACCAGCACCAGGAGGAGATTCAGCGCCGCCGGCTCTTAGCTAACAGAGACCCCTACCTAAAACTAGCCGCTTCCACCGACGCTCACCTAAAAGTGGGAACTTCAGCACCCGGTTCTCTCAGCACCACCGGTCAGCTGCGCCCTCTTCTCCCGTCTCTGTCGGGGGATTTCTTCACGTACGCGGATCGCGATCACGACTACTGGAGCGGCTATTTCTCCTCGCGCCCCTTCTGGAAGGCCGTGGACCGGGCATTGGAGGCGAACATGAGGGCCGCTGACATGCTCTACGCTCTCTGCTGGGCCGACTGGGCAGGACAAGGCGAGCGTTCAGCAGCCAGGGCTGCTCGCATCGCATCCGCAGAGCTGCCCTTCCCACTCAAGTAAGTGTGGGGAAGGTGAGAGAATGTGTGACACAGTGAGCGGTTGATTTTGAGAATTCTCAAAATCAACTTAAGTAAGTCTGGGGAAGGTGAGAATGTGTGACACAGTGAGCGCTGGCGGGCAGCCTCAGGGCCGCTGACATGCTGAACGCGCTCTGCTGGGCTGACTGGGTGGGAGGAGGCGGTCATGGAAAGGAGGGCTCCGGCAGTGGTGGAAGCTTAGCAGCGGCAAGGGCAAGCCAGAGCACCTGCTGCCGTTCCCACTCAAGTAAGTGTTGGGGGCAGATGGGTGGGTGGTTCTGAGGCAGGTGGGTGGGTGGTTCTGAGGCAGGTGGGTGACTGAGCTTTCTCCGTGGTTGCTACTGGAGTGGAGTAGCTTCCCCGTGGTGTGGTGGCTTCCTCTCCTCGCGCCCCTTCTGGAGGGCCGTGGACAGAGCGTTGGAGGCGAGTGTGAGGGCGGCTGGCGTGCTCTATGCGCTCTGCTGGGCGGACTGGGTGCGTGGAGTGGAGGTGAATGCGTAGCAGCCAATTCTGGTAGCAACGCGTCCACAGAGCTGCCTTTCCCGCTAAAGTGAGTGTGGGGCAGGTGAGAGGGGCACAGGCAGGGGTCTTTGGCAGAAGCGGTTGGTCCCATCCCATCGTTCCTTGCTCCCCACACTCACCTACCTGGCCCCCTCTCCTTCTCCCCCCTCTCCTTCTCCCCCCTCTCCTTCTCCCCCCTCTCCTTCTCCCCCCTCTCCCCCATTCAGCTTCGCAGAGCGATTGGTCTTGGCACGGCGCAACCTGGCGTTGTTTCAGCACCACGACGGTATCACAGGGGACGTGTGAATTGCTTCCACATACATTCCTACCCCACCCCACCCCACCGCTTCCCACCCCTCCTTGTTTCACCCTTCTTCCAGCTTCGCAGAGCGACTGGTGCTAGCACGGCGCAACCTGGCGCTGTTTCAACACCACGACGGCATCACAGGCACGGCGAAGCACCACGTGGTGAAGGACTACAGCCTGCGCATGCACCAGGCACTGACCGACCTCAGTGTGAGTGCATGCATGTCACAGGTCAACGCAAGTCAATGTGAGTCAGCGCAGGTCAATGGGTTGTGTGAAGCACCACGTGGTGAAGGACTACAGCCTGAGGATGCACCAGGCGCTCACAGACCTCAGTGTGAGTCAACTCAGGTTCTATTTCTACTCCACATTCCCCTCCTTGTTGCTCCTCCGTCACTCACCTCAATCCTCACTCCTCACTCCTCTCTTCTCTCCTTTCTCTCCCCTTCCCACCTATCACAGGACTTCATGTGTGCTGCTGTCGCTGCCCTTCTGCTCAAAGTACCCAAGCCTTCTGCACCAACTGCCACCGCTCTCAACTCCTCCGTTTCCCAGCAGCCGCCACCTCTCGAAGCAGAGCGGTGGCGGTCGGTGCATGACGGTCCGTGGGAGCGGAGAGTGGTGGGGAGCGGTGTGGAGGGGGAAGAAGGGGCGGGAGCAAGGAGAGTGGTGGTGTTCAATCCCTTGGAGGAGGAGAGGAGGGAGGTGAGTGAGAGGAGGAGGGAGGTGAGTGAGAGGAGGAGGGAGGTGAGTGAGAGGAGGCTTCGGCCCAATTTAAATCACATTGAATCAAAAGTTCCACTCATCAATATTGTGCATTCCACTTCAAGCTATCCCATCTCGTTCCATTGATTCCTCCTCTTAACTTTGTCTCATTCAATCTCCCACTCTCTTTCTCCCACTCTCTTTCTCCCACTCTCTTTCTCCCACTCTCTTTCTCCCACTCTCTTTCTCCCACTCTCTTTCTCCCACTCTCTTTCTCCCACTCTCTTTCTCCCACTCTCTTTCTCCCACTCTCTTTCTCCCACTCTCTTTCTCCCACTCTCTTTCTCCCACTCTCTTTCTCCCACTCTCTTTCTCCCACTCTCTTTCTCCCACTCTCTTTCTCCCACTCTCTTTCTCCCACTCTCTTTCTCCCACTCTCTTTCTCCCACTCTCTTTCTCCCACTCTCTTTCTCCCACTCTCTTTCTCCCACTCTCTTTCTCCCACTCTCTTTCTCCCACTCTCTTTCTCCCACTCTCTTTCTCCCACTCTCTTTCTCCCACTCTCTTTCTCCCACTCTCTTTCTCCCACTCTCTTTCTCCCACTCTCTTTCTCCCACTCTCTTTCTCCCACTCTCTTTCTCCCACTCTCTTTCTCCCACTCTCTTTCTCCCACTCTCTTTCTCCCACTCTCTTTCTCCCACTCTCTTTCTCCCACTCTCTTTCTCCCACTCTCTTTCTCCCACTCTCTTTCTCCCACTCTCTTTCTCCCACTCTCTTTCTCTCACTTTCTTGCCGGCCCTTCTTCCCTCAACCCCAGATCATTTCAATCCTCGTCAAATCTCCAGCCGTTGCAGTCATCGGGCAGCACGGAAAATGTCTCCCCGGGCAGCTGCTGCCCGACTGGTCCAAAGGCAACATGAGCCTAACCCCGTCCTCCGGCCGGCACCGTCTTTTCTGGGAAGCTTCCGTGCCACCCCTAGGCCTGTCCACCTATTTCATAGCGCCCCACGCTGCTGTGCCTGCCTGCCCTGCGCCTGTTCTGTCGACCATTGAGGTGTTTAATCCCCCACGGGGGTTTGTGTGTCCCGAGCCATATGTGTGTGCGATGGTGGGGGAAGGGGAGGAGGGACCTCGAGGAAGGGAGGGGGGTGCTGCTGTTGCTGATGGTGCTGCTGCTGGTGGTGGTGATGGTGTTGGTGCTGGTGCTGCTGCTGGTGCTGGTGCTGGCGCTGGTGCTGGCACTGGGGCTGGGGACAATGAGGACACATTTTCCATATCGAACGGCAACTACCGAGTGCATTTGGGTCGCATGGACGGGCTAATAAAGGGGATACAGGTGAGCTGCTGCTGCTGCTGCTGCTGCTGCTGCTGCTGATGGTGCTGCTGCTGCCATGCAACCATGTGTTTGCTTGCATATATGTGACACTGCTTGCTTGCATGCATGTGAACTCGCATGCCTGTTTCGCTTCACATGCTGCTTTTTTCTTTCTTTCAACCACGAGGTAGGTCCACTTCACTCAACTGTTCCCCCTCCCCTCTTCTCATTCCTCCACCTCATCCCCCTATCCCGCCTCTTCCTCCCGACTTCCCCCCTCGCCCCACCTCTCCCACATGCGCGCCCCTCTGCCAGTCAGCAAGCAGTTCACGCTCTATGCCGGCTCAGGGGGGAGCCTATCTCTTATTTCCTTCGTCCGTCCTCTTCCCTCACCTCGCCCCTCTCCATGCCCTCTCAGCCTTTCCATCGTGCCCCCATTCCCCCCACCTCTCCCACATTCCTGCCCCTCTGCCAGTCAGCTAGCAGTTCGCGCTCTATGTCACCGAATATGCACGGTTGTGCATATAAGGTGCCAGTTATGTTGCGGTGTAGTGTGGGGTGTAGCATTACCGAATATGAGCATTTGGGGTGTAGGTAGTTGGGGACCAGGGAGAGTGCCGCGAAGTTGGTAGGAGAGCTCCGAGGGGTGAAATCCAAGGAACCAACCCAGGCTCGAGGCGCACATTGAGAAATGCACGCTTCGAGCCAGGGACAGGTAAATTCACTAACACACACTCACTCGTTGCTTTTCTCTTGTTATCCTTTCGTATAGTGGATCGTTGTTGCCTTCATCCTTCGGCTAGGTGACACACCACTCAGGGAGGACCCTTGGGGTGGGAGCTTTGTTTCTTTCATAACAAGAGAAAAGGGTGCGCGCGTGCAAGGATGGACGGGTATGAGCTGCGTGATGGCAGGACGTATGGTCGTCGCGAGGAGGATCGCGCGTGGCGCGGACACTCGCGTGAGCGTGGGCGATCGTTGGAGAGATCGCCGCGGAGGCCTGCCTTTCGCGCGGACCAGGTGCCTCTCGCGCCCGAGCGCCGAGAGGGCGGATCCGCACGAGCAGGAGCGGGCGGATCGGGATCGGCCCTGGCGGGAAGTGATCCGTGGCGGACAGAACCGCGCCACGGAGCAGGTGGCGATCTTGGGTATCGTCAGGAGACGGGAGCGTATCGCTCGCCGGAGGCAAGCTATCGCCGTCGCGAAGATCGGAGTCGCGGGCGAGGCTTGGAGGAGTTGTTTTCGGGCCGAGAGGGAGACCTCAACGCCGACGGAGATGGAGTGGAAGAGAGCACGGACACGTTGCAGGGATCCGAGCGTGACGACGTGGCTGAGGTTGACGGCGAAGCCCAGGAGGAGGGCGCAAGCGAGCAGCGCGACATGCCCGCGGAAGCAACGGAGGCAAACCCTGCTAAGGCAGGCGAGGCGGAAGAGACAGGCGGAACTGGCGGCGTACGAAGCGCGCGTAAGGAAGCGCACGTTTCTGGACAGCAGGCGCACGGCGGGGAGCAGGGCAACGGCGCGTCGCGCGCGCCAGATCCGCGCCAGCAGAATGACGGAAAGCGGGGAAGCGGTCCGCGCGCGCCAGATCTGCGCCCGCATCATGACGAAAGGCGGGGAGGCGGGTCGCGTTCGCCTGAGCCACGTCAACATCGTGACGGGAGACGGGGAAGTGGATCGCGTTCGCCGGATCCGGGGAGGTATCACAGCGGGAGACGGGAGGGCGGATCGCGTTCGCCGGATCCGTGGAGGAATCGCAGCGGGGGGCGGGGAGGCGAGTCACGCTCGCCGGATTCGTGGAGGAATCGCAGCGGGAGGCGGGGAGGCGAGTCACGCTCGCCGGATCCGTGGAGGAATCGCAGCGGGAGGCGGGGAGGCGAGTCACGCTCGCCGGATCCGCGTCAGCAGCATCACGGAGCGCGGGGAGGCGGGTCACGCTCGCCGGATCGGCGCCAGCGCCATGAGGGAAGGCGTGGAGGCGAGTCGCGTTCGCCAGATTCGTATCGCCAGCATGACGGGGGGCGGGGAAGTGGGCCACGCTCGCCGGATCTGCGCAAACATCAGGAGAGGAAGTGGGGAGGCGGGTCAAGTTCGCCAGATCGGCACCAAGAACGGGGTATGAGCAGGGGAAGCAAGCATCGCTCGCTGGATCAGCGTCCGCAGCGTGAAGAGAGATATGGAGGCGGGCACCGCTCGCCAGAACGTGATCTGCAGCGAGGACAGAGAGGGAGATGGGAGGAGGAGTGGCGTCACCGAGACAATCGTTATGGGCAGGAGGGAAGGAGAGCTCCGCGATCCCCGACACCTGAGAAGCGCTGGCAGCACCAAGGGCGAGGGGAAGATTGGGCGCGAGCGAGTTACTCACCAGATCGGCGAGGGAGGAAGGGTGAGGAGGAAAGGCGATGGGAAGCAAAGCAGGAGCAGCACAGAAGCAAAGGTGTAGGCAGCGGTCTGGCATATAGCATGGAGCGCGCCAGAGAAGCAAGGAAGGGGATCGAGCGGGCTAGAGGAGGAGGGACGTCAGGAAGGCAGGAAAGGGGAGCAAGTGAGTCATGGGGCGAGGGGCGTGGAAGTGCAGCGATGGCCACACGTGTGGAAGTGCCGGCGCGGTTCTCAGGAGACCAGCGCGTGGGGCCTACACTGAAGAACTACTTGATGCAAGTGGGGAATGTGAGATACAGATGTGAGCAGAGCGGCATGGATGCGGTGGATTTCTTCCTAAGTCTGCCAAATACATTGGAAGGGGAGGCAGAGACACTGTACAGAATGAGGATGGATGAATTGCTTGAGAGGGCGGGCAGGTACGGGGAAGACCCCACAGAGGCATTTCTGAAGCGGCTGCAGCGGCAGTTTCCCGGGCATACTGCAGAGAAGATAAGGGAATTTCAGGAGTTCCGGAGAGGGAGTAGTGAGTCGTTGCTCACCTATTACAACCGGCTGATCAACTTGGCGGAGGATGTGACGTGTGGGGACATGGGCCTCTTGGTGAGCAAGTTCTTGGATGGGCTGGACAACACCATGGGAAACGGGCTGCGCATGAAGGTGTGTGAGCTGGGGGCAGACACAACGCTGGATGAGGTATTCGAGTTGGCAGAGAAGATGGAGCTAGCACAAAGAAAATATGAGGCATATCGGCCCAGGACCATGGAGCGAAGCCGTGGGCCGACTTGGGCAGCAGCGATCATACCTGAAGAAAGGGAGAAGGCAGTGGGTCGAGGAGAGAACAGGCCAGAGACACGGACATGCCACAGATGCGGACAGCCGGGACACATTCGCAAGGACTGCAAAAACTGTGACAGTTGCGGGAAACCAGGGCATCGGCGACGGGAATGCCCTGAAGCACCGAAGTGTGAAATCTGTGGAAGAGGAGGACATGCGGCAAAAGACTGCTACCAGCGAGAGGGAGCAGCAAAGAAGAAGCTGGAGGAACAGGAGAAGCAGATCAGCCGGCTGCAAGCGCAGCTGCAGGCACTAGGTCCGCGACGCGAAGCAGAGGCAGGGATGTATGCCAGGGATGAGGAGGAAGAAGATGTAGCACAGGAAGAGCAAGGAGCACTCATGGCGTGGGGAGTGAGGGAGGAGGATGAGGTAGAACATGAGGAGCAACCTGCATACATGGCATGGAGAGGGAGAGAAGAGACGGGGCTGCGCAGCGGAGGCAAGGATGGGCGAAGGGAACAGGTGAGGAAAGAGCGGGAAAGGGGGCAGAAGCCGGAAGAGAAGGAAGAGAGATGCACAGCTGCACGTCACCCGCAGGAGCGGCTGGCATGTCAAACATCGATGCTGCTGATCCAGAATGGAGCGCTGACGGTGGAAGGGGAGAAGGCAAAGACAGCTATCATAGACACCGGAGCACAGAGTGTCATACTAGGGAAGGGGATGGCCGAGAAGCTGGGACTGTGGGCACCGGACAGACATGTGATGAAGGGGATGCTAGTGATGACGGCAGAGGGTGGAGAGTCAAAATGGATGCCCTGCACGAGGACTCCGATGGAACTAACGGTGCTGAAAGGGGAGAAACATGAGACGCCAGTCAGAATCAGATGCGGGATTTCAGAGTCGGAAGATTTTGATGTGCTGGTGGGCATGGAGATGATTTTGCATTAGGCATGACCATCTGCTTTTGGAAAGAGACAGTGGAGTTCCGAACTAGGTGGTGGAGGAAGGGTGAACCGCTAGGGCAGCTGCCGGTGCAGTTTGGTGAAGACAGAGCCAAAGAGGGCCTACCGTGCAGGTCAGAAGGAGGTGACGGTGAAGCAGGGGGCACAAGAGCGAGTGGCTGGCAAAGGACAAGGCAGGGAGCCCAGGATGCGCCACATGGATGAGCCTAGCCAACAGACCGATTGGCAGCAACCCATCCGGCTGGTGGAACTGTTCGGGGGAATAGGGGCGGGGCTGGCAGCAGTGGTGCGGAATGGAATAGCGGTGAAACAGTGGATCTACGTGGAGCAGGCAGCGGAAGTGAGGAAGATAGCGGAACATCATGCGTGGGAGCTGCATAGAGAGTTTCCGGAGCTGCTGAGGGGAGACGTGATCAAGGCAGCGATGAGCAGAGGAGTGAACGATGTAAAAGCAATCACGGAAGCTGAAGTGGCAAGCTGGGGGCACGTGGACCTGCTGGTGGCAGGGTGGGAATGCCAAGGGGTATCATGGGCGGGAAAGGGCAAGGGTGAGCTAGACCCCAGGACCAAACTGATGGAGGAGTTGTTCAAGATTATGGAGTGGGTGCAGGCTAGGCAGGGCAGACTGGCCTACTTGCTGGAACACTTGGACATGGAAGGAGATGTCCGGTAACCAGTAAGGTTGGTAAGGGAGAGAGTGACAAGGCAGGTGGGCAAAGGGGTGAGCAGTGACGCGTCGCGGATGGGAGCCTACGCACATCGGCTTAGGATGTACTGGCAGAATGTGGTGCCAGTGGAAGATCTGCAGAGGGAGATAGAGGGAGTGCAGAGGGCAGGGGGGCAGAAGGTGAGCGACATACTGGAGCCAGAAAGGACTCCAGCACCAGTGAGCAAAAGGAGCTACAGCAGGCACTACCCGTGCAACCAGGTGGGATAGGAGAGGCAGGCATTACCCACCCTGGTGTCATATGAGGGGGCAGCAGGATATCGGATGGATGGGGAGCAGCCGGGCCCAGGACTTATACATGACCATAGGAAGGGACGGTGCGAAGAGCCCACGGCTTTGGAGAGGGAGCTGGCCATGGGGTACAAGGAGAATGCCACAGCAGCCCCTGGAGTGAGTGAGAAGGAAAGGAGGCGGGCATTGGGGAACGCTATGGATGGGTACATGATGAGATGGCTGGTGCAACGGATGTGGAAGGAGACAGTGCTGCACTGGGGACTGAAGGAGGGAGAAAACACAATAGCAACAGTCAGACAAAGGGTATGGGCCTGCCTGCAGAAAGAGGAGCCAGAGTGGAGGATAGGTGAGAACATGAGCGAAGAAGGGAAGGCAGCCATGCGAACACTGCTGGCCAAGCATCGGAAGGGCTTCGCTTTCACCCTGCAGGAGTTGGGGAAGTGCAAGATTAAGGAGATGGCACTGAAGTTGAGCAGTGATGAGCCGGTATTCCACCGCAGGAGGAAGATGCCACCAGGGGATGAGGAGATATGTAGGGAGAAAATCAAGGAGCTGCTGGAAGTCGGTCTGATTCGGAGGTCAGAGTCGGAATACGCCACCCCGACCGTGGTGGCAGCCAGGAAAGACTTGACAGGCGAGGTGCTGAGCAGGAGAATGTGTGGGGATTACAGGGATCTTAACAAAATCACTGTGCCGGACAGATATCCGATGCCGATGGCGGAAGAACTCTTCGACAAGTTGGCCGATGGGGTGTTTTTCACAACGCTGGACCTACGGCAGGGGTTCAATCAAATAAAGATCAGAGAAGAAGATGTGAAGAAAACGGCCTTTCATGGACCTGATGGGCTGTACGAGTGGTTGTACATGCCGTTCGGTCTAAGGAACGCCTCGGCAGTATTCCAAAGGATCATGGATGCGGTGCTGCGGGGTATAGAGCATGCGGCATGTTATATTGATGACGTAGTGGTCTTCAGCCTAACCGAACAGCAGCACCTGGAGGACGTGGAGAGGACACTGAGTGCCATAGAAGGGGCAGGGCTCACCTGTCATCCCAACAAATGCAGATGGGGGGAGCAGACAGTGCAGTACCTGGGGTATGAGGTCACAGGGGGGCAAATCGGGATCCAGCAAGCGAAGGTGCAGGTGCTGGACAGGCTGAGGGAACCCAGAGACAAGTCCGGGCTGAGGGCGGTCTTGGGCTTCCTCAGCTATTACAGACGCTTCGTGCCTAACTTCAGCAAGAGAGCAACGGTGTTGAACGGGATGCTGCGGGAAGACAAGGCATGGGAGTGGGGAGAGAAGCAGAGGGAGGCGCTGCAGGACCTGATGACCGCTGTAAAGACGGCGACAGTGCTGCGGCTGCCGGCAGCAGACCAGCCCTTCATCCTCTACACCGACTGGAGCAGTCAGGGGATGGGAGCAATACTTTGCCAGGAGGTGGAGGGAGTGGAGAAGGTAGTGGCCTACGCCAGCAGGAGTTGCAACCCGGCTGAAGCACAGTACAGCTCGTATATCGGGGAGGGGCTGGCGGCGGTATGGGCAGTGGGGCATTTCCGAGTATATCTACAGGGTAGAGAGTTCACCCTGGTGACTGACCATCAGCCCCTCACATGGCTGATGACCACACCGGGGCTGACGGGCAGGAACGCAAGGTGGGCAGTAAAGTTGCAGGAGTACGACTTCAGGATAAGGCACAGGCCGGGAAAGACACTACAGCACGTCGACGGTCTCTCCCGCAACCCACCACCACTGGAGACGGAACAGGAGGCACTGGAGACTGAACGGACAGAGCAGGAGCCAGCGCATACCTTGATTTTGCTGGCGAGGGAGGTGGAGCAGAACGGTGCGAGGGGGAGTAAGGGGCCAGCTGACATTTGGCAGGATGCAAAGGCAATGGAATGGGTGAAGGGAGAGACCGAGGAAGATGAGACAGTGTCTGAAAGGGTGAGGGCACGAGGGCATCACTACAGGTGGTTTCAACAGCAGCTGCAGATAAAAACAGAGGATGGCTGGAAGCTGGTGCCAGCGCCAGAGGAACGTGAAGCAGTGATCAGGGAAGTGCACATTAAGCTGGGGCATTTCGGACACGAGAGGACCGTACACCTGCTGAAAACGGGCTGGTGGTGGGAAGGGATGCGCCGGCAAGTGAAAGAATGGGTAGAAGGGTGCGAGGCTTGTCAGAGGAGCAAGGCGAACCTCACTCAGGCCAAGGCAGAGCTGCAGTCATTGCCAATCTGTGGTTTGGGGTTTCGATGGTCCCTGGACCTAGCGGGAGAACTGCCGCTGAGCAGGAGTGGGAACCAGTATATAGTGCTCATGATTGAGCACGTGAGCAAGTGGCTGGAGGTGAGAGCCATCCCTAGCAAGAGCGCGAGGCACATTGCAGCGGCATTCAAGGCCCAGGTAGTGTGTCGATTCGGAGCGTGCGGGGAGGTACTCACAGATCAGGGCACAGAGTTCCAGGGAGAGTTTAAGAAGTTGCTGCTGGAATCTGGCATCACGCACCGACGTACCTCCCGCTACCACCCGCAAAGCGACGGGCTGACTGAGCGCATAGTACAGACCATCAAGCGAGGGCTGCGGACCTACGGGGAGCAGAGAAAGAGGGATTGGGATGATGAGTTGGACTGGATAGCAGCTGGGTACAGATTCGGGAAGCAGGCAGCGCTGAGGGATCATTCCCCGTACAGCCTACTCTATGGACGAGAGCCAATTCTGCCAGTAGGGGCACCACGGGTTCTGACAGACACCGTGACAGCGGGCACGATCAAGAACTGGATAGCCCTGTCTGACGTGAGAGCGCGCTACATGCGCTTCATGATGCCAGCTGCGCTGGAGAACCTGCACACCGCCCAGCTGCGAGATGCCAGGAGATACGAACAGAGGCAGCGCAAGGGCGAAGGGAAAGTGGCAAGAGGCGTATGGGAGGGGCAGGAAGTTTATCTGAAGAGAGCGAAGCAAGATACTCTGGATGTGGGATTGGGGACAGTGCGTTGGAAGGTCAAGGAGGTGCGCCCCTCTGGGGTGCTGGTCTTGGAAAACGACAAGGGGGCAGTGTTGAAGGAACACCAGACGAACACCGCTGTGATCAGAGGGACAGGGCCTCAGCGTCATGGTCCTGTGACCCGCGCTCAAGCTGCTCAAGCACGGGCACAGGAGGGGGCAGGGAGTGGCTGAGGCAACACAAGAAGCTTCAGAGAGGAAGAGAATCAGAATGAAGGCAGATGGCAGGCAGAGCTGTTTCTCCGACAGCTGTCACCGAATATGCACGGTTGTGCATATAAGGTGCCAGTTATGTTGCGGTGTAGTGTGGGGTGTAGCATTACCGAATATGAGCATTTGGGGTGTAGGTAGTTGGGGACCAGGGAGAGTGCCGCGAAGTTGGTAGGAGAGCTCCGAGGGGTGAAATCCAAGGAACCAATGTGAACGAACCAACCCAGGCTCGAGGCGCACATTGAGAAATGCACGCTTCGAGCCAGGGACAGGTAAATTCACTAACACACACTCACTCGTTGCTTTTCTCTTGTTATCCTTTCGTATAGTGGATCGTTGTTACCTTCATCCTTCGGCTAGGTGACACACCACTCAGGGAGGACCCTTGGGGTGGGAGCTTTGTCTCTTTCAGACACAAGAAGCTTGGGGAGTGGCTGAGGCAACACAAGAAGCTTCAGAGAGGAAGAGAATCAGAATGAAGGCAGATGGCAGGCAGAGCTGTTTCTCCGACATCTATGCCGGCTCAGGGGGGAGCCTATCTCTTTGCCTTCCGTCCTGTCACCTTTTCCCATCCCCCTCTCCATCTCCTCCTCTCCTCTTCATATTGCCCCTCCCCCATCTCCCCCTCTCCTCCTCATATTGCCCCTCCCCCATCTCCCCCGCTCCTCCTCATATTGCCCCTCCCCTCCAGCTGCCCCACATGGATGCCCCTCTGCCAGTCAGCGAGCAATTTGCGCTCTATGCCAGCTCACGGGGAGCCTATCTCTTTGTTCCGCATCCGCGTGTAATGAGTCGTGTTTTGAGTCGACTCAAAACACGACTCAAACCTCATCCCCTCTGCCACTCCATCTCGCCCCCTCTTCCCGTCCCTCCCCCCAGCGCCCCCACATGGATGCCGCTCTGCCAGTCAGTGAGCAATTTGCGCTCTATGCCAGCTCAGGGGGAGCCTATCTCTTTGTTCCGCATCCTGTCAAACCTCGTTCCCTCTGCCGCTCCATCCCGCCCCCTCTTCCGTTCCCCCCCCAGCTGCCCCACATGCGCGCCCCTCTGCCAGTCAGCGAGCAATTCGCCCTCTATGCCAGCTCAGGGGGAGCCTATCTCTTTCTGCCACATGGCACTGCCGTTCCTATAGTGAAGGAGCAGCAGGGTGCGGGTAGCAGCAGGAGCACGGGAAAGGAAAAGCACAGGCACGGGGAGAGGAGCGGGAGTGGGTATGGGGGAGACAGGGAGGAGGAGAGAGGGGGAAGGGGTTCTGGGAGAGTTAGGGGGGAGAGGAGGGGGAAGGGATATGGACGGATTGAAGGGGAGCGAGGGGGGAGTGGTGTGCATGGGATGGTTAAGGGGGAGGAGGGAGGGTCGACCTCGTTGGTGTGCAGAGGGCCGCTAGTGGAGGAGGTGCATACACGGTTCAGATTCACCCATCCGAATGATTGGACGGCTGAGGTGCAAGCTGAGGATGTTGACCCTTGGGCGGGGGGGGGAGGGGAGGGGGAGGGGACTGGGGAGGGGGGAGGGGAAAGGGAGGCAGGCACGACTGCCAATGTGGCAGAGGAAGCTTTTTCTGCTACAGCCCGAAAGCTGCTAGTTGATGATAGTGAAGCTGACAATAGCGAGGATGAAAGAGATGTTTCTGGGAGTGAGGATGAGGAGGATAGACAGGGAACGAGTGAGAGAGGGGCTGTGGGAGAGAGTGAGGGTCAGGATGAAGGAAGACACTTGGAAGAGGGAGAGTGGGCGAGCAAAGGAGTAAGTGTGGCTGAGGGAGCAAGCGGGGGAGTGAGTGAGGGAGCGAGCGAGGGAGTGAGTGGGGAGGAGCTAGACGTGTTGCATCCGCGCCATTTTGAGGGGAAGGAAGCGGCGGGAGGGTTGGTGTGGCTGACTGGCGAGCAGCAGCGAGTGTTTGGTAAGCTGCTGGAGCAATCACAGAGGGAGGAGCAGGGGGAGGAGAAGATTCAGAGAGCGAGTGAGGGAGTGAGTGAGGGAGGGAGGGAGGGAGCGGGTGGGGGAGCGAGTGGGGGAGCGAGCGGGGGAGCGAGTGAGGGAGCGAGTGAGGGAGCGGGTGAGGGAGTTAGCGAGGGAGCAGGCGAGGGAGTTAGTGAGGAAGCAAGAGAGGGAGCGAGTGAGAAAGTGAGTGAGGGAGTGAGTGAGGAGGAGCTAGACGTATTGCATCCGCGCCATTTTGAGGGGAAGGAAGCGGCGGGAGGGTTGGTGTGGCTGACTGGCGAGCAGCAGCGAGTGTTCGGTAAGGTGCTGGAGCAATCACAGAGGGAGGAACAGGGGGAGGAGGAAATTCAAAGAGCGACTGAGGGAGTAAGTGAGGGAGTGAGTGAAGGGGTGAGCGAGGGAGCGATTGTGGGAGGTAGTGAGGGAGCAAGTGAAGGAGAGAGCGAGGGAACGAGCGAAGGAGCAAGTGAGGGAGCGAGTGAGATCGCGAGTGAGGGAGTGAGTGAAGACGAGCTAGATGTTTTGCATCCGCGCCATTTCGAGGGCAAAGAAGCGGAGGGAGGGATGGTGTGGCTGACTGGCGAGCAGCAGCGAGTGTTTGGAAAGGTGCTGGAGCAGTCGCAGAGGGAGGAGCAAGGGGGGGAGGAGATTCAGAGAGTGAGCGAGGAAGTGAGTGAGGGAGGGAGGGAAGGAGGGAATGAGGGAGCGAGTGGGGGAGCGAGTGGGGGAGCGAGTGAGGGAGCGGGTGAGGGAGTTAGCGAGGGAGTTAGTGAGGGGGTGAGTGAGGAGGAGCTAGACATATTGCATCCGCGGCACTTTGAGGGCAAGGAAACAGCGGGAGGGCTGGTGTTTCTGACTGGCGAGCAGCAGCGTGTGTTTGGAAAGCTGCTGGAGCACTCACAGCGGGAGGAAGACCAGGGGCAGGGGCAGGGGCAGGGGCAGGGGCAGGGGCAGGGGCAGGTGCAGGGGCAGGGGCAGGGGCAGGGGCAGGGGCAGGGGCAGGGGCAGGGGCAGGGGCAGGGGCAGGGGCAGGGAGAGGAGGAGACTCAGCACACGCAGCAACGAGAAGAGTCAGAAGGCGAGCGGTTGGCTGCGATACAGAGCGGTGAAGAAGCAAAACTCCTGGCAGATCTTGCATCACCGAACCTCGCATCACCAGACCTTGCCTCGGCACGTGCAGCAGCGGAGCAGCGGCGAGAGGAGCGGAGGAAGCAGCGGTTGAGATGGATGCAGAGGGTGCGGGGGACGCAAGGGGCGGGGCGGCCGCCGTGGTTAGACGATGATTTTAACTACACACTGCTCTCGCCTGCTGATGCTGCCAGTCAAGAGGGGTTGGATGCGTTGTTTGGGGGTGAGGGGCACGGGGAGGAGGGGGAGAGGGGTGGGGGGAGGGAGGCGGGAAGAGAGGGGGTGGGGGCCGGGAAGAGGTGGAGGGAGAGTGTGGCGAGGGAGAGGAGGGAGTGGATTGAGGCGAGGCGCAGGCAGAGAGGAGGGTATGGGGCTGCTGGTGGTGATGATGATTCTCCTGCAGCTGCTGCAGCTGCTGCTGGTGCTGCCATGGGACTTGGTGAGGCTGAAGGGCCGGAAGAGTCAGAGGAAGATGATCAACCCGACAGCTTCGACCAACAGTCTCACCCCTCATTGCAGCAGCAGCAGCAGCAGCAGCAGCAGCAGCAGCAGTCTCAAAGTTACCAGCAGCAGCAGCAGCGGCGGGGGGCACCAGAGCCAGTGGTGCGGGTGGTGAGGCTGTACAGGGTGCATTCGGTGCAGGCTCTGCTGGTGGAGGTGCAGCACCGGGTGGACCTCACCAGCCGCATGTGGCTCGGGAACAAGGAGCTCGTGGTCCGGTACCGAACCGGAATCAGGTATATGGTGTGGCCTGGCCTGCCCTCATGCCTGCCCTCATGCCTGCCCTCGCCCTCACATGCCCTCCCGTGTTATCAAGCCTCAGACCTAGTCAACTCTCACCCGCCATGCCGTCCCTCCCCCATATTGTCTGCAACCCCCCCCCCTCCTCCCCCACCACTACCCCAGGTCCGGCAACGTCTTTCACACGGACCTGAATGGCTTTCAGATGGTGCGCAGGGAGACCCTCGCTCGCATCCCCCTGCAGGGCAACTTCTACCCCATGCCCGCCCTCGCCTTGCTGCAAGACCCCTCTGGGCTGCGCTTTTCTGCTCACACACGCCAGGCCATGGGATGCGCCAGTCTCAAGGTGAGCTCTTCCCTCGCCTGCTTTCACCCCATGGCACTCCCTCTCACCCCTTTGCCACGGCCCTTGCCATGCCTCCCAAGCCCACGTCTACCCCATGCCCGCCCTCGCCTTGCTGCAAGACCCCTCTGGGCTGGGCTTCTCCTTGCACACACGCCAAGCCATGGGCGCTGCCAGTCTCAAGGTGAGACCGCTCTTGCCCGCCTTCTCAACGTGAGTCGTTTCTTGGTCTCGCTATCTGCATAACAGCCTCTCCTCACTATGCCCTCCTCCCCCTCCTTCACCTACCTTTACTTCTCTCCCTGCTCTGCGGCTGGCTGGAGATGGTGTTGGATCGGCGGCTGAACCAGGACGATGGGGAGGGGGCTCACACAGGGAGTGTCTGACAACCAGCCTCTGCTCTCCCTGCTCCACCTCTCCCTCGAAACCAACACCTCCCCTCTTCCCACTCCCACGCCCCTCCTTCCTCCCCCAGAGTGGTTGGCTGGAGATGGTGTTGGATCGACGGCTGAACCAGGACGATGGGAGGGGGCTCACACAGGGAGTGTCAGACAACCGCCCGCTGCTCTCTATCCTCCACCTCTCCCTCGAAGCCAACACCTCCTCTCGCCCTCCCCCCTCCCCCTCCTCCTCCACCCCGCTCAAGCCCTCCCTCCTCTCTCACTGCGTCTCCTCCCGGCTCAACTACCCGCCTGTTCTTTTCATCGGGCAGCCCGAAAATTCTGCGGCTCTGCGCGAACTGGTGCCGCAGGGTGGCGCGGGCAGGGAAGAGACAGGTGGTGGTCGGGGCAGGCAGGAGCGAGATGGAGTGGAGGGTGCTGGGATGTGGGAGCAGCAAGGGGGCCGGAAGGCAGGTTCGGGGAAGAGCTTGGGGAAAAACACAGGAGGGGGTTCGAGAGTAGGTTCGGTGCAGGTCGGGGCGAAGGTGGGGGGGTGGGAGTGGGGGTATGCGCCCCTGTTGCATCCTCTGCCCTGCGACATGCACATCGTGTCATTCAAAGTCCACCGCCCACTGCCCAACGCCTCTGTGAGTGCCCAACGCCCTAAAAGACTGGACCTTCTATCGTGTTACTGCTTAGGGTACATTCCTAGCTCGTGTCTGACATCAGGTCAGACACGAAGTGGAGACTCGGAAGACCCGAAGTGGCTTGGAATAGGGGCAAATCAACATTCGGAAAAGGCAAATCAGAGACTAAGGGCTTATGACCTGATGTCAGACACGAGGTAGGAATGTACCCTTAGTCGCTTTACTGCTTTGCTCAATGCCTCTGTGCGTGCACAAGGCCTTGCTTGTTACGACCATCCTCTCCTCTTTTATGTACTGTACATGTCTACAGTACAAGCGATACATATTCCTCAATCTAGTTGTTGAGTTCACTTTGAAACCATTCAAATGCCTCCTCACTGCCATGCAGGCCTCTGCCGAGCCTCCGATTGCACTGCTGCTGCATCGGCAAGGCTTTGACTGCAGGTTCGCTCCTCCTCCGCAGCTGCGCCGTTCCTGTCGCCCCCCTCAAGCTTCTGGCGACGTGTCCCTGCAACAGCTGTTCTCAGACAGGCTGGTGGAGGGGGTGGAGGAGTTCCCTTTGAATTTAGTTCGAAAGAATGGGATTAGTCTGGTAAGGAATGAAAGTGGTGCTGGTTCGGGGAAGGGTGGAAATGGCTCGGACGTTCGAGAAAGGAGGAGCGAGAGCGAGCACATCGAGCCCATGGAAATAAAAGCGTTCAAATTCTGGCTGGGGAGAAGGCACAGAAATGCCTAGACTTGTGTAGCGTGTTACCAAGCTAATGGTTTTTATTCTAATGAGCTTCGACGTCTTACACTAGAGCTGTGTTCTGTTTAGTCTACTTGCTCTCCTTTTTGGTTCGTATGCCCGCCGCGAATGTCGTGCTTGCTGGGTACCAATCAATCAGGTTCACGAACCACATCGAGGTGCCGTCGTCGCGAACAACTGCTGTGAGGTCGCAACAACTCACCCAAACTGCTGTGTCCACTTCAAGCCTTCCAGACTCCTCTAAAAACCTTGGTAGACCTACCCAAGCCTTCTCAACCACGCGATCTCACTTCCAACCTGGGGCCTCCAGACGAGATCTCCTTTTTCCCGTGTCTTACGCAAACCATACCTTGGGTTTGCCATTTCAACCCCTCTTTCGGTACATACGGATGATCTGCTCAAACAAGACATTTTTCCTCCGTGACTCTCGCTTATCTCCTGTCACGGAATTCGTTCTACCTGCTCTATCCTCCCTTCTGTCCCACTCCAGAAACGTCCAATCCTAGTATTATTTCCAGCAACCTTTCGGCCTTGCCCCTTCTCGTGTTCTCCGCCTGTTTTAGCTGTGTCTTTTAAGGCCTTTTTTTCTCTTAGTACCTATTCTTATCCGTACCTGCAAACATGAGCCACTACGACAACAGATACGGAGACTCATCCTCGTACAGGGACCGAAAGAGGTAACTTCATTACATAAACCTGTAATCTATCTTTACTACCATAGTGAATATACCGTCCTTATTTATTTTAGGGTTTCACGGCTGGATTCGTTCTTGCCCGTTCATTTGTCTTATTCCTTACTGTCCGTGTTATTCTCCTGGTAATCGCAGCGACTTCGGCGGGGGATATGGCGGCGGCGGCTCTAGCTACCGCCCTGGCGGCGGTGGCGGGTACGGCGGCGGCGGCGGATACGGCGGCGGCGGCGGAGGCGGGTTTCACGGCGGGAACAAGCGCGATCTCGACGCAATCACCCTAGCACCGCAATCCTTCGACAATCTCGCGCATTTCGAGAAGAACTTTTACGTCGAGCACCCAGCGGTGACGGCCATGTCGGAGGGCGAGGTCGAGGAGTACCGTCGCCGCCGGCAGATCTCCGTCGAGGGCCGCGGCGTGCCCAAGCCGTGTCGCACGTTTGAAGAGGCCTCGTTTCCCGACTACGTGCTCGTGGAGGTGCAGCGCGCGGGATTTAAGGAGCCCACGCCGATCCAAGCGCAGGGATGGCCCATGGCGCTTAAGGGGCGGGATTTGATCGGGCTCGCGGAGACGGGGTCTGGGAAGACCTTGGCTTACCTTCTTCCTGCTATTGTTCACGTCAACGCCCAGCCTTATCTCGGTACGTCTCTCTTCGTATACCACCTGCGCTACGTTTTTCCTCTGTTGAGTCTGACCTGTTTCTTACGTAAGCCACATTAGTTTCTTCAAGTCCTCCCGCAGGTGATCTCTTGAACCTCGTTGAAAGCGCGTCTTAGTTAATCCGTGCCTTCGACAACCCGTCTTTCTGTTCACCGCAGCACCCGGAGATGGCCCCATCGTGCTGGTGATTGCGCCCACGCGAGAGCTAGCTGTGCAGATTCAGGAAGAGTGCACCAAGTTCGGCGCGTCCTCTAAGATCAAGAGCACCTGCGTCTACGGCGGCGCGCCTAAAGGCCCGCAAATACGAGATCTCAACCAAGGTTGGTGTTTTTTTCTCTGTTTTTACTTGCTGGGCAGTAGTGCGACTACTGTAGCGCGTGGGCTGTGTCGCGACGGCCTGTCGCGCGCTGGTTGTCGCGCGTATGCTGTAGCGCGTCGCAAATGTCGCTGCACCTGATCTAACGTGCTCCTTGTCTTTCGCGCTTCACCTTTTGACCCCTCTTCTTCTCGCTCGTCTCCCCATCCCTCTCTTTTGTATCTACGCCCCAGGCGTGGAGATCGTGATTGCGACGCCAGGGCGTTTGATCGACATGCTGGAGTCGCGGATTACCAACCTTCGCCGCGTGACGTACCTCGTGTTGGACGAGGCGGATCGCATGCTCGACATGGGCTTCGAACCCCAGATCAGAAAAATCGTCTCGCAGGTAACCGTTCCTGTCAACGAAGAAGATCGTCCCGCCCCAATCGCGTTTCTCTCCCGCCCCCCCCGTCTACCTCCTCCGCCCCCCCCTTTCCTTTCACCCTCCTTTCCCTTCTCCTCCCGCACTCCTCTTCCCCGTGTTCTAATTCGTGGTTACGTTTGCGTTTTTTTCTCTTTCGTTTCCTTGCCCCATTCCTTGCCTCAATCTGCTTCTCCTCCCCTCTCCCTGATTGACCCCCGCCCACTTCCTGATTCCCCTCGCTTGCCGTCTCTTTGGTCGCAGATTCGCCCTGATCGCCAGACGCTCTACTGGAGTGCCACGTGGCCCAGAGAGGTGGAGACGCTCGCCAGGCAGTTCCTGGTTGACCCGTACAAGGTGAGATGATCCGTACGAGGTCAGGTGAGATGATCCGTACGAGGTGAGATGACCAGTACGAGGTGAGATGACCTTACAAGGTGAGATGATGATCCGTACACGGTGAATTGATCCGTACGAGGTGAGATGATCCGTACAAGGTGAAATGATGACCCGTACAAGGTGAAATGATTCGTACGAGGTGAGATGATCCGTACAAGGTGAAATGATGACCCATACAAGGTGAAATAATTTGTACAAGGTGAGATGATCCGGGCGAGGTGAGGTGATTGCAAGGTCGTTTCGTTTGGACGTCAGAAGCCTGTGTGTGGGAGAGAATTCTCAACTGTGACGGCTGTGAACGTGCTGTGAGCTTGTGACGGTTAAGCGACTCTCGGTCTTACTCCCCTCTCCCTGTGCCCGCGTTTTCCTTGCTTGCTCGACTCTCACTGGTTCTGCTGAAACCTTGGCTGCCTGTCCACTTGGCAGGTTGTGATTGGCTCCGCGGAGCTGAAGGCGAACCACTCAATCACGCAGGTGGTGGAGATTTTGAGCGACCACGAGAAGTACCCCCGGTACGTCAAGAAAGTATTTGAATTAGACGGTTACCATCTGGTGTAAAGTCAGAGAGGAGAACTTTGAGGTGTGCATGCACGCACATGTACGTCAGGCAGTTACCATACTCCTTGGCCTTGCTTCCTCCCCTGGTCTGTTCTGCCCCCAATCACCACCCCCACTGGCTGCGTGAGCAGGTGGTGGACGGCAGTCGCACTCTGGTGTTCATGCACACCGAGCGTCCTCCTTGCCGCTCCTGTTTTTTTTAGAATTCTCAGCGTATGCTTTTTGATGCAGCGTATGTTTTTTGAGAATTCTCAAAAAACATACGCCGCATTCTGGCGTTCATGCACACCAAGCGCTCTCCTTGCCCCTGCTTTCCCCCTTGTCCGTTCCATCCCCCACCACCACTCCCTCAGACTTTTCAAGCTCCAGGAGCAGGTGGTGGATGGCAGTCGCACTCTGGTCTTCATGCACACCAAGCGCCCTCGCAGACCCTCCTTGCGCCTCCTTGTCCCTGCCTGGTCCGTGTTGTCCCCCACCACCACCCCTCTCAGGCTGCTGAAGCTCCTGGAGCAGGTGATGGATGGCAGCAAGATTCTGGTCTTCATGGACACGAAGCGCGTGTGCGACCAGGTGACCCGCCAGCTGACCCTCGCCCCTCCTTGCCCCTGTTCCCCCCTTCGCAGGCTGCTCAAACTTCTAGAGCAGGTGATGGACGGCAGCAAGATTCTGGTCTTCATGGACACGAAGCGCGTGTGCGACCAGGTGACCCGCCAGCTGACCCTCGCCCCTCCTTGCCCCTGTTCCCCCCTTCGCAGGCTGCTCAAACTTCTAGAGCAGGTGATGGACGGCAGCAAGATTCTGGTCTTCATGGACACGAAGCGCGTGTGCGACCAGGTGACCCGCCAGCTGCGCATGGACGGCTGGCCTGCGCTCTCCATCCACGGCGACAAGAGCCAGGCGGAGCGCGACTGGGTGCTCTCGGAGTTCAAGACTGGCAAGAGCCCCATCATGATCGCCACCGATGTTGCTGCCCGCGGGCTAGGTATTGTCCGGGCACCTGGGTTAAAGGTTTTGGAGTTTCAGGGGTTCAGGGTTTGGGGGGGTTGGGGTATGGCCCTCTCCATCCACCTGATAAGAGCCAGGCGGAGCGCGACTGGGTGCTGTCGGGGTGCAAGACTGGCAAGAGCCCGATTATGATCGCCACTGACCTCGCTGCTAGAGGGCTATGTATCGTTTCAGGGATGACGGGGTGGGTTTAGGTCTTTTGGTTTGGGTGAGGTGCAGAAGCAATAATATTTCCGACGTCAGGTTGGGGTCTAAGGTCGGGGTTGGGTTTGGGGTTTCTGCCCAGGTCAAGGCGGCTATTGCAAAAAGGGGAGATTTGGGGGTTTTGGTTCAGTTTTTGTTATGGGGTTAAGGGTTTGCGTGCTTGGGGTTTGTCTCACGGCCCTTGTGGTTCATGTCCAGTTTGTTTTGTTTTTGTTTTGTTTTTGTTTTTTTTTTTTTTTTTTTTTTTTTTTTTCCTACTCCTTGTTCTCTGTGTTTTCGGTCAGCTGAACCTCCTCACGCTCGTCTTTCTCTCTGTTATTCGTCTCCCTTTCCTTGTACTATATCTTTTGGTGTCGTGTGTGCAGCCCTAAGCCTGGCCCATGCTCGCTGCCTTTCCACTGCCTCTCGTCTCCCACCTCTCGCTGCCACCGCCACAGCCACAGCCACAGCCGCCTGATGTGCCAGCCACAACACACACCACCCACCAGCACCACAAGCAGCAGCAGCTAAAAGTTGCTGGCCTGCCTGCCAGCTAGCCGCCTTCTGGTGGCAGTTGGCTGTGCTGGTGGTGCTTGGGGCACATGGTGCATGTGGTGCCCATGTGGTGCCATGTGCTGCCCATGTGGGGCCATGTGGTGCCATGTGGTGCCATGTGGTGCCATGTGGTGCCATGCGGTGCCATGCGGTGCCATGCGGTGCCATGCGGTGCCATGCGGTGCCATGTGGTGTGGTGCCATGCGATGCCATGCGGTGCCATGCGGTGCCATGCGGTGCCATGTGGTGCCATGCGGTGCCATGCGGTGCCATGCGGTGCCATGCGGTGCCATGCGGTGCCATGCGGTGCCATGCGGTGCCATGTGGTGCCATGTGGTGCCATGTGGTGCCATGTGGTGTCCTTGGCGCCATGCTGTGCTGTGTGGTGCCGTGCGGTGCCATGTGGTGCCTTCGGTGCCATTTGGTACCGTTTGGTGCCCATGTGCTGCCACGGACTGCCATCTGGTGCCGTGTGGTGCCATGCGGTGCCATGTGGTGCCATGTGGTGCCATGTGGTGCCGTGCAGTGCACAAGGCTAGTGCTGGCTGGTTGGAAGTGTGCTGGTGGTGTTGCGATGGAGGCAGGGAGAGAAGGAAAGGCAAGGCAGCAGTGGCACCTCAGGCGAAGGGCTGGCCACAAGACACACACGCATGCTGCATTGCATTGCTCGAGGATTAAGTGCAAGAAGGGTGTTTTCTTTTTTTTTTATCCTGTTGGTTGGTTTTTCCTTCTCGTGTCCTGAACACCACCACAGCATGCTTGTGTTTGATTTTTAATGCCAAGGTCGCAAGGTCCAGTTCTCATTATCAGTGTTTTGGCATTTTTGTCCATGGTCATTTGTTCTACTCGTGTTGTCCGTGTTCCATGTGCATCGTCGTCATTTCATTTTCATCATACAATTCCGTCAAGACGTACTGTTTATGTGATGTTCTATTTCTGTTTCCAGGTGTCCTGTTCTCATGTGTGCTCCTCTCCACTGTTTTATCATCCATTTTTTCTCCCAATTTTAAACCGTTCTGTTATCATGATTACTGTTCTATCTTATAACCCTGGTCAACTACTACAATCGTCCGTTTTGACTGTTGTGTGGTGCTGTCACATCGTGCCGAGGCTCGTTTTCTGATCCATGCATACTGCGGGATGTATCATTCATTCTACCGACACCTTCGGATCAGCTGCGACTTACCCAGCGCGTGCATCGCACTCTCTTCAACTCGTGTTCTCCTCACCCTCACACACCACCCTATGCCTTCCAGATGTGGAGGACATTAAGAGTGTGATAAACTACGACCTCCCTTTCACTTGCAAGGACTATGTGCATCGCGTCTCATGGTGGTCCCCCTCCCTCTCTGCGCACTCCCTTTTCCCTCCTTGCAGACGTCAAAGACATCAAGTGTGTGATCAACTACGACTTCCCCTCCACCTGTGAAGACTACGTGCATCGCATCGGCCGCACAGGCAGGGCGGGGGCGACGGGATTCTCCTTCTCGTTCTTCACGGCCGGCAATGCCAGGCTGGCGAAAGATCTTATTAAGATTCTCACCGAGGCCAATCAAGTCGTGCCACCTGCGCTCGCTGCTCTCGGGATGAGCGCTGGCAGCATGAGGGGCGGGGGAGGTACGTGAATAAGTGCTTGCGAGCGGCATGAGGGGTGGGGAAGGTGTGTGCATGAGGGGTGGGGAAGGTGTGTGCTTGAATGCTGCTGCCCTGTGTCTCTGTTCGTGTTGTCTCAAAAAGTCGCCTCCCCATCCCCCGCCTTCCCCCCGCCTCCCTCCATCTATTTCACTCCTTCCATCTGCCCTTGCTTTGGAGCCTCACTGGCTCTGAGATGAGCGCAATGGCATGGATACAACAGCTCATCTCTGTTTTTGAGGTGACTTTTGAGTCGAGGTGACTTTTGAGTCGACTCAAAAGCGCAATGGCATGGATACAACAGCTCATCTCTGTTTTTGTTTTCTTCATGGCTTGTCCCGTGCTCCGTGCCCTGTGCTGCCACTCATCAGGCTTCAGGGACAGGGGCCATGGAGGGCACAGGGGAGCCATGCAATCAGGCTCTAACGTCATTCCCCTAGGCACCATGCGATCCTGGGGACCAAGATAGCTCTACCACCGTAGTTTAAGTGCCTTTTGAGGCGCTTCAAAAATCGTCATTCCTCTCGGCACCATGCGATCCTGGGGAGCAAGATAGCTCTACCGCTCTGCCTTCTCAACTACTCGACGTAATTCTAAACCTCTGATTGCTCTAGCGACATCGCCGTCTTGGTTGGTTGTCATGCAATCGAAGTGACTTTTGAGTCGATTCAAAGGTCCGACTTGGGTGCCATGCCATGCCATGCAATCGAACAACAATGCCGTTCTCCTCGGCACCATGTGATGATTGGTACCTAGATAGATAGCTCTGGTACTTAGGCTGCTCTTCCTCTTTGGTGCCTATTGGTGCCTATTGCTAAGGGGTATTGCTCTAGCACTAGGATGACTCTGATTGCTCTAACAGCATCTCTGTTCGAGTGTCCTTCGTAGAAGCCGTGCAATCAAGCTGAGAAAGCTGTGGTGTGGAAGCATCTCTGTTTCAGCCATTCCCCTCCGCTCCTGGAACCGAGAAAGCTGTGTAGCTTTGCTTGCTCTTCCGCTTTGCTGCTGCTCCACTAGTTCTCTGGCTATTTGGAAGCTTGCGCTTGTGCCAGGACAGGGCTGTTTCGGCACGTACAGGGCACTTGCTGCTACTATTCAATTACCTACGGTAAATACATGCATTCACATGCATGTCTACTTTTCATTAATCAAAACACTGCTTGAAGGTTAAAACTTCCGTTTTCAAGTTGGACCCAACTAGAAGGGGGGAGGCACTATTTTAGCTGCTGGCTTTAAAACCTTGATCTTTATTCATTTATTTCACCTTGGTCATAACCTTCCCACAGAGCGCAAACGCGTTACCTGCAGTTTTTACAACTGCATATGGCGCCGTCACCCGAAAGTTTAAATTTCCGCGGGCAGCGGTTTCCGATTCAGACCAAACTACCTCGCTGTATTCAAAGTTGTAACGCTTGCGGGGCGCAAGCTTTTCAGTTGTGATGTTAAACGCTGCGAAATTTGCCGTGGTTGCTGTGAAGCAGGAAGGGCCAAAACCCAAGTCGGGCATGTCTTTTCCCGATTTGAGGTTCAGGTATAGGAACTTGAAAGATACTAAGTACGATTTCGAAGTGTATCTGCCAAGCGGGGAAAGAGAGACGGTAGTTGGATGGGTTATGAATATACGCCATGCACTCATGGAGTGCCATGATGCATCATGGCACTGTGCATGATGCTTCTTCAGAAAGCACAGCTGCGGCTCCCTCTTAAAGGGTAGTATTAATAGTATTACTGCTGGTGCCATGACAGCACCAGATGCTCCCCTCCACCACACCTGTTCAGAACTTGCAAGAAAACTGGATGGCTGTTCTTGCACAGTCATTGTGCTTTTATAAGACTCGTGTCAGCATCAGTGGGAGAAGTGATGATGGGACAAGCGAACGAGGGAACAAGTGAACGAGGGAACAAGCGAACGAGGGAACAAGCGAACGAGGGAACAAGCGAACGAGGGAACAAGCGAACGAGGGAACAAGCGAACGAGGGAACAAGTGAATGCGGAGACAAGTGAATGAGAAGGGACATACTCAACCACTCTCATCATCCTTTTCCTTTTCAGTCGGCTCAAAAGTCAAGTCAAGCGAACAAGGGAACAGGGACATACTCGACCGCCTTCATCATCATTCTCCCCTTGGCTCCTGCGTCCCCAACTACTATCCCGTTGCGCTTGGTAGGACGTAGTTTGATCACGTATTTCACTAGAAACATCGGGAATGGGTGGGATCAGGTCAGGAAAACGGAAAAGTTAGTAACTATTGAGTTTCGACTGGCAGACATAACGGGAATGTGAAGGATTGGGAAGCTGGGGAAGTGAATGCCGGAACTCAACAGTATGCTGCTGCACAAAGAGTGGGTGCGCCTTTACATCATAATAATGAGCCAGCATTCAGAACATGACACCAACTGCAGCACACAACTCAACTGCAGCCTCCAGCACAAATTAGTAGACTGCAGCACTCACATCAGCTGTAGCACACGGCAGCACACACTTCAGCCACTGACGGGACGCATGCCACCGGTTATTCATGTACTGTGATTAGTTGCGCATGTTCCTTCTCGTGTGTTCCTTCGGGCGTGTTTCTTCGCGTGTGTTTCTTCGCGTGTGTTTCTTCGCGTGTGTTTCTTCGCGTGTGTTTCTTCGCGCACGGCGATGGCAACTTTGAGAAAATAAATCATGTTTTCTTTTGACTACCGTCAGCAGCAGAATATTTCTGAAGCGCCTTAAAAATAATATTGTGAAATTGAAAAATCATGTCAGCTAAGTAGACCGCCGACAGCAGCAGCCTGTAGTAGAGTCTACTCCACTGACACTTACGTATCGTCTTCCCCTTCAAAGGTTTCCTGGCCTGAGCGACAGCGAGAGCAGAGGCGCCGCCGTCGTGAGAGGAGGGCGGATCGAACGACGGTGTAGCAGACGCGGCGCTGTAGGCAGTGCAGACCGCCGCACCTGCAGGCAGGCAGGCAGGCATGCAGGCAGGCAGGCATGCAGGCAGGCAGGCAGGCATGCAGGCAGGCAGGCAGGCAGGCAGGCAGGCAGGCAGCACATATGGTTCGAGAATCAACGCACTGTGACGTGAGGCGCCACTGTTTAACGACGTCGGAACCGCCTCTGGGATATTCGATAGAAGATCTGACAGTAATTATTTTTTTATGATGGTAAAGCCGGCAGCCGCACGTGATAAACCATGGTAGCAGGGCTTACAGAGAAGCAGGAGGCAGAGGAGAGGCGATGCACGGCGCTCCATGAGATTATTACTCGCAAAGGCTTTCGACTTGGCTTAGCTCTCGGTAGTGGTACTAAGAATAGTCGAGGCTCTCGGTCGTACTGCTAAGAATAACGAGTCAGTCACGGGACATTTGCGGATGGTGGTTTCCGAGCGAAACTGGCAAAAGTGTGAAAATATGGAGTCGGGGTTCGCGAAGTGGTTTTACGGGCGATGTGCCACACAGCATATCGAACCGCACCGGCGAGCGGAAGTGTCTGCCTGTACAGTACCCCATAAGGAAGACACGTTGATTCAATCGGAAAACCGGATTGGTCGCAGCTTGGCCGGTCCGTGGGACCCGTACGACGCGAAGAGTGTCCTATGACAATATCTCTTTTCTAGTGACCTGATTTTAATCAGGCTAAGCCGGCGGGATTATTTTGGGCCTACAGAAGTTTAAAACGCATATAAGGATCCAAAAAAAAAACTCTCAATCGGGAAGTCGCACCAAGATAACGCACCGCACCGACCGCACCGTTCCGAAACCACACCACCTACTACTGTACGGACAAACTACCGCGTGCTTTGGGGGATATTCTCCGTGCACTGTCAGCACTGGATTTGGGCCTGTCTCCAATCCAGCGTCATAGAGTCTACACGTGTCTAGTCCAGCTATTCCATGTGCGGCATGTGTACGGACGACCATCATGTTCTCGCCTCGACGGAGTGTGGTGGAGCGGAGCAAAGTCCTCCAGTCTGTTGGCTGTACGGTTCCCGCAGCCCGCTCCGTGCCGTGGCTCGTGCCTGAACTACTTTGGAGTCGCTCAATTTTGAAACAAGGAACGAGCAAGGAGGATGAGTGATGCACGACGGGTTTCGAGGGGTTCCGAGGGAAGGATGAGAGGAGGCTTACGTCATTGGCAGTGTCTGGTTGGAATTGGATTGGACGGAAAAAGGTGACCCTCCCTATTATGCTGTTGTCCATCCCTTCGTCAGATGTTTCGTCAGATATACCATATTTCCTCGGCGAAGGTGGCGGCGAAGCAGGCGAAAAGCATTGGCTCAATTCAGTCCGTTTAAAGCCCGAGTCTAGAATGGTAAGAGTTCAAGTTCAAGATTCTTGAAGTAGAAATCGCCAAAAACCAGGTAACCCGGTTTGGGACTTCCATACCCTCGCGACCCACAGAGTTGGGTTCCAATGGAGAGTTTCTGATTGGTTGAAATCAACTGTGGCAAAATGATCAACACTTTCGCCACAAACGGGTCACTGTTCACACTTCCGGAAACTTGAAGCCAAAACTCACCATAATAGACTCGATACCTAGGAGGCTTCGTAGCGTAGAATATCGTAGTTCCCTCCCAGCACACTCAATCCCGCCCGTCCATCCCGAAACTTCAGTCATTCCCGTCCTTCCCGTCATAAGATTCATTCCCTTTGTAGTCAGGAAATCTGTCATTTCCTCCCCTTCACGACCGCCTTTTTACTCAGAATAGGTTCTCTAGCCCGTGATTATTTACGGATCACCCAAGTAGACTTAGTCTTCATTAGTGATGTTATTACGAGTCCGTCGCGGTAGCAATTACGCAGCCACCCGTTCCATTCATTCAGACTCTCTCGTCCCCGTCATACAATGCCCTCCCCCTCCCTCCCGTCACACACGTGACTTCTCACCATCGCTAACGTCCCTATGGTCTCTCTCGTCGCCCTGGTCTCTCTCGTCGCCCTGGTCTCTCTCGTCGCCCTGGTCTCTCTCGTCCCTATGAGAGGGGGAAGGGAGGGAGATGGGAGGGGGATGGGAGGGGGATGGGAGGGGGATGGGAGGGGGATGGGAGGGGGATGGGAGGGGGATGGGAGGGGGATGGGAGGGGGATGGGAGGGGGATGGGAGGGGGATGGGAGGGGGATGGGAGGGGGATGGGAGGGGGATGGGAGGGGGATGGGCGGGGGATGGGAGGGGGATGGGAGGGGGATGGGAGGGGGATGGGAGGGCGATGGGAGGGGGATGGGAGGGGGATGGGAGGGAGATGGGCGGGGGATGGAAGGGGGATGGGATGGCGATAGGAGGGGGATGGGAGGGGGATGGGAGGGAGATGAGAGGGCGATGGGAGGGGGATGGGAGGGGGGTGGGAGGGGGATGGAAGGGGGAAGGGAGGGCGATGAGAGGGGGAAGGGAGGGGGATGGGAGGGGGGTGGGAGGGGGATGGGAGGGGGATGGGAGGGGGATGGGAGGGGGATGGGAGGGGGAAGGGAGGGCGATGAGAGGGGGAAGGGAGGGAGATGGGAGGGGGGTGGGAGGGGGATGGGAGGGGGATGGGAGGGGGAAGCGAGGGCGATAGGCGGGGGACGCGAGGGCGATGGGAGGGGGAAGCGAGGGCGATGGGCGGGGGAAGCGAGGGCGATGGGAGGGGGAAGCGAGGGCGATGGGCGGGGGAAGCGAGGGCGATGGGCGGGGGAAGCGAGGGCGATGGGCGGGGGAAGCGAGGGCGATGGGCGGGGGAAGCGAGGGCGACGGAAGGGGGAAGCGAGGGCGACGGAAGGGGGAAGCGAGGGCGACAGAAGGGGGAAGCGAGGGCGATGGAAGGGGGAATCGAGGGCGCCGGACGGTAGATGCTAAGTCGACGGACCGGGGGAAGCTGTGATTTCTCATCGCGTGCCGCACATTATCTCCGTGCTTCACACTCGCATTCGCACCACATTCCCTCCCTCGGTCCTAGGATTCCTCTCGATTCCAGACTATACGTTTATATTCTGACATGTTATACCTAGCTATTTTAGTCTGGATACTTAGTTTCCTAACACTGATGTTCTAACTATCTTGTACGAAACGCACGCTTTTCTCAAACTGATCCAAGAGTGCGCTTATGGACTTGAGGGAAAATCTGGGTTGTGAGCTGTGTGAGAGTGGTTGGGTTTGGTTTTGTCGATAGTGTTTGTTCAAGTTTCTTGAAGTTGAAGTTGAAGTTGCGATGCACTGTGGAGCATTCCGCCTTCGCCACCTCCCTCGAGCGAATTCTTCTCTCGTGAACCTTCGCACAACCCTTTTCAAGTTCAGTATTTATGAACCCTTGCCATTCTAGATTCGGGCTTTAAGGAGGAACCTTACGAAGAAAGGTTTTGAATATCATCCTAACATATCTCAGCTTTTTCTTGCTCATCTAGTGGTTCACCTTGGGGGCTTGACTCATTTCAGAAACTCTTGACGCATGACCAACAAAATAGTGTAGTACTTATTGCTGCGATCAGAAGTTGATCGTGGCCTAGGATCTACTCAGGAAGGTTCGCACGCAGAGAAGTGATGTTGGTGGGCCCTTGACCTCAATAGCAGAGTGAATGTAAATGCTTGAGATGAATAAAACATGCAAATACAGCAAGTATAAATATGAGTACAGCGGAGATGAAACGACCTAGCTAGCCATGTACTCTAAGGGGTACATTCCCTTATTCAAATACATTCCCAACCGTGCGGCGCGAACAGTTACGAAACTGTTCCCGCCGAAGCCATCCTGCCTGCAGCTGCCTGATGCTGTCTGCTCCGACGGTTCAGATGCGTCCCAACTGTCTGACGCTTCGAGTCGTTTCCAACCGTCTGACGCTTCGCGTTCATTCGCGATACTGCGTGCTTCTCTTTGCTGCGGTGAGGAGTGCAGAGTAATATTCAAGTATTACTATTCGTAACACCCCCCTTCACTCCTGGCCGCAGTTCGACTTGACCTGCTTGACCACGCCGCTGAGTTCGGAGCAGTGCTGATACTGCTGGCGTGGCAGTCGCTTCGTAAGGAAGTCTGCTGCCATGTCACCGGTCGGGCAGTAGGTCAAGTTGACCTTGCCCTTGTCTACCTCATCCTTCACGAAGAAGTACCGCAGCGCAATGTGCTTGGTCCGGTTGACGAAACCAGGTTTGTTCGCGATGCGAATCGCGCTCTGGTTATCGCAGTGAAGGCGAAATGTGGGTGAAGCTGGAATTTTCGCCTCTTGCAGGAGTTCCTGCAAGTAGAGGCCTTCGCGAACTGCTGCGGTTGCTGCGATGAATTCCGCTTCGGCTGATGACAGGGCAACCAGCTCCTGCTTCTGTGAGTTCCAGGAGATTGGTCCCGTTGGCTCGAGTCGGAACAGGAAGCCAGTCCTGGACCGTCGATTATCGGGGTCTGCTGGGTGATCGGCGTCCACATAGCCGATGAGGTTGAAGGATGGAGTTGGTGCAGTTGAGTAGCACAGCCCAATCTTGGGCGTTGAAACGAAGAACTGAAGGGCGCATTTAGAAAGCTTGCTTTCTTGTGTTTGCAATGGCAACGAGCTTCGTTTCAAATGGGCATTACATCATTCTCGTCCGGGATATATATGGTACCTACATTACACATGACAACATGCAATTTTTGCTAGGGTGGGTGGGTGGGAAATAAGACATTTGAAATTTCAAACGAAGACGTGGGTGGAGGCCAAATGGCCTCCACCCCCTGCTGTATAGTTGGCGAAGAGCGTCTAGCACTTCGCCGTTGCCATTGCTGCATTACAAGCAGCTTCGCTTTCAAAATACACATTTTTAGAAAGTGTTACACACTTAAAAAAAAAAACATATTTAGAAAGCTTGCTTTCTTGTGTTTGCAATGGCAACGAGCTTCGTTTCAAATGGGTCTTCTGAGACATGAGACGGGGAGATGCTGCGGAGACGGTAAAGGTTGTTGATGGTTTATGCGACGACATGTCGGTGGAGTTCCAATCATGCGCGAAGAAGAAGGCTGGCACCGATGTTGATCGAGGTGCAGTATTCTCTGCTGTTGCATTGGAGTGTCGCCCTAAGTGAGTGTAGCACAGTAGTGGTTACTTATAAGCGTTGGCTCACACGTGAGCTTCGGACACGAACTCGCAAGCAGTATGGGAGGACACGGGCAGCGGGCGTTAGTATTCTGTGTAATGATGGATGTGATGCTTGTAGGAGCCCAACCCTTGTTGCGGTCACAACCGTGCTCACATTACGAAGCGTGCATGCAACTTGTATCCGGGTACGGTAAATCTGTCAAGGTTTAAGCCCTTGGTATTCTTACTCATCTGCTATAGTTGTGCACCATTTCAAACTCACCAAAATTTTGTTCAACCAGCCAACTCAGATGTGATCGCGTCCAAACCTTGCACTTTGGGCTTTAGCCCTGGTATTTGACCAATATATAACTAAACTCACGAGCCAGAAAGGGACCCACCGGTCCTCCTCCCCCCTGGGGAGCTCGCTGGCCAGCACCGCACAGGACCCACCGGTCCTCCTCCACCCTGGGGATCTCGCTGGCCAGCACCGCACAGGACCCACCGGCCCTCCTCCCCCCTGGGGAGCTCGCTGGCCAGCACCGCACAGGACCCACCGGTCCTCCTCCCCCTTGGGGAGCTCGCTGGCCAGCACCGCACAGGACCCACCGGTCCTCCTCCCCCCTGGGGAGCTCGCTGGCCAGCACTGCACAGGACCCACCGGGCCTCCTCCCCCCTGGTGAGCTCGCTGGCCAGCACCGCACAGGACCCACCGGTCCTCCTCCCCCCTGGGGAGCTCGCTGGCCAGCACCGCACAGGACCCACCGGCCCTCCTCCCCCCTGGGGAGCTCGCTGGCCAGCACCGCACAGGACCCACCGGGCCTCCTCCCCCCTGGTGAGCTCGCTGGCCAGCACCACACAGGACCCACCGGTCCTCCTCCCCCCTGGGGAGCTCGCTGGCCAGCACCGCACAGGACCCACCGGGCCTCCTCCCCCCTGGTGAGCTCGCTGGCCAGCACCGCACAGGACCCACCGGTCCTCCTCCCCCCTGGGGAGCTCGCTGGCCAGCACCGCACAGGACCCACCGGTCCCCCAAGGGAGCTCGCTGGCCAGCACCGCACAGGACCCACCGGTCCTCCCCCCCCCTGGGGAGCTCGCTGGCCAGCACCGCACAGGACCCACAGGTCCATTTCCGGCTGGCGCGAGGCCCCCGGTCCCAATCTCCCACGGGAGCGCATGGGTTGTGCCAAATGTTTTGCCGCAGTCTTTCTTCGCCGGTAGTCTCTCATGGCGACCCAAAGGTAGTTGCCTCGCACCGATTTACTGCGATAAAAAATAAGAAATAGCATGAGAGAAAAACGCAGACGAACAAGAATCGAAGATAGGAATGAAGAAGAGGTGGGAACATATGCAAAGTAATAATTTATTCGTTGGCAAATTTCAACATCAGAAGCGCATCTGCCGCCAGTTTGTCTCTGGCGCGCCACTGGAATCTCGCCTTCTGGAGATTTCACCATCATGCCTGCTGGTACCGACTTCCGCTGGACGCGCCCCTGCGTTCTTGCACGCCACTGGCGATTTCGTAGCCACATGCGGCAGTGGCGATGTTGACCATTTCGGCGCCATGAGCGCCACTGGCGCCACTTGCGCCGCTGGCGATTTTGACTCCACATGCGCCACTGGCGATTTCACCACGCGCGCCTGTGGCGATTTCGTCGCCACGCGCGCCTGTGGCGGTTTCGTCGCCACGCGCGCCTGTGGCGGTTTCGTCGCCACGCGCGCCTGTGGCGATTTCGTCGCCACGCGCGCCTGTGGCGATTTCGTCGCCACGCGCGCCTGTGGCGATTTCGTCGCCACGCGCGCCTGTGGCGATTTCGTCGCCACGTGCGCCAGTGGCGCTGTCGCCTTATTAGCCTCGACGTGCGCGCCTATCGTGCGGACGGGTGTACCCGCAAGACATTTCTGAAACGTGTGTTGTGCTATGTCAATCTAGTTAATGCCTACTATTTTAAGAGAGAAGTGAGCGACTGAGGAGAACGGGAAGTCGTCGGACGAGAATGAAATAAGACATTTGAAATTTCAAACGAAGACGTGGGTGGAGGCCAAATGGCCTCCACCCCCTGCTATATAGTTGGCGAAGAGCGTCTAGCACTTCGCCGTTGCCATTGCTGCATTACAAGCAGCTTCGCTTTCAAAATACACATTTTTTGAAAGTGTTACACACTTTCAAAAAATTTCATGCTGCAGATCCAGAAGATTCTCAGCCGTTGGTTTGCGTGAGTACTGCGCCAGCTGACTGGCGATGTACGAGAGGTCTGGCCTACAGGTGACAGAGGCGAAGAGGAGGCATCCCAACTGCTGCTGGTAAGTCTGAATCCCAGCAGGGGATAGTGGTTTGTTGTCGGGTTTGTGGTTCGGTCCAGGAGTTCGGTAGGGAGTTGAGAGAGGTGCAGGTGAAATGTTGAACCGCTTCCCTAACTCCTCTGCGTACTTAGCTGCTGAGAGATGAATGGCATCAGGCGCGTAGGAGATGTTGAGGCCTAGAAACTGCTTCACCTCGTAGTTGCACGTGATGTCGACGCGCCCCGCCAAGGCCTTCTCGAACTGCTCGAGAAGCTCGTTGTTTGATCCTGTGTAAAGCAGGTCGTCGACGTACACCGTGAGGAGAATGTATTCCCCCCGGAATTCGCGGCGATACATCCCTGGATCGTGCGGCATCTGCTTGAATCCGATTTCAAGCAGGATGTTGTGCAGGTACTGCTGCCACAGCCTCGGAGCCTGTTTGATCCCGTAGAGTGACTTGCGCAGTTGGCACACGCGTGAGTCCCCTCCGCCGTAGGTGTGCGGCTGCTCCACGTAGATCGCGGCGTCCACTAACGCGTACAGGAACGCGTTCTTCACGTCGATCTGGCGGAGTGGTAGGTGCCTTGCAGCTGCAATGGCGAGCAGGATTCGAACGGAGGTATGGCGACTGACTGGGGCGAACGTCTGGTCAAAGTCGATGCCATGCCTCTGATCGTAGCCGCGAACCACCCAACGCGCCTTGAAGCGCTCGATCATTCCGTCCGCTGTGGTTTTCACGCGGAAGACCCACTTCCCCGAGAGGATTCTTGCGCCTTTGATCGCCGCGCGGTCGACTAGCACCCAGGTGTCTCGTGACTCCACTGCCTTGATCTCTGCATTCATTGCTTCGCGCCATTCCTTGCTGTGTGGTCCAGAAAGAGCTTCGCGCGGATTATGGGGCTCGATGCCACGTGGCGCCTTCGAAGTTGCGGTGTGAAGCCCGAGCAGCTGCAGTCCTGAGATAGTGCTGTCGTGGCGACGTTGCGGGATGACTTCCTGTACGTCGTCGTCATCGCTTTCTGGTTCAGGAGGCGCTGGTGGTGCTGTGCCTCTGCCGCTTCCGCCTGTTCCGCTTCCGCCTGCTGCGCCCATTCCTCCTCCCGAGGAATCGTCGTCGTCGTCGTCGTTGCTACGTCGTTCTTCCCACACGAACTCGCCCCTCGTGTCCTGCTCCAAGATTACTGCAGCGGCTTCGTCTTCGGGCGTTGCGTAGCTGTGCCCATTGTTCGCGTAGACGCGGTTCACGTTCGTTTCTTCGTCGCGGCGGAACTGGTCGAGGAAGAGGCGCTCGTAGAAGATGACGTCGCGAGCGTGAGCGATTTTCTGACTGAGGAGGTCCAGGACGATCCACGCCTTGTACTCGTGACTGATGCCGAGATGGATCCCCCAGCGCGCGCGGCTGGCGAATTTGCCGATGGTTGAAGTCGGCGGGCGGTATTGAACCATGCACCCCCATACGCGCAGCATGGAGGTATCCCCTTTGGTCCCGGTCCATTTGACGTGCGGGGACAGATTGCCGGTGATGGCGGTGGTCGAGAGTAGGTTGTGCACCCGCACTGCGTGGTGCATCGCGTAGGTCCAGTAGATCGGCGGCAATTTCGACTGCTTCATCAGCGCGCGCACCTTCGTCATTAGCGTGCGGTTCGTCCGCTCAGCTACGCCCTGCTGCTGGTGCGCGTAGGGGAGAGAAATGTGGTGCTCGATCCCCTTTTGCGTGAGGTAGGTTTGCATCTGGTTGCTCCTGAATTCTGCCGTGCCGTCAGATTGCCAGATTTTCAGCTTCTTCCCAGACTGTCGCTCTGCGTGCGCCAGCCAGAGGCGAGACACCTCGTAGGCTCTGTCCCGTGACTCCACGTTCACGACCCACACGTAGCGCGTTCCAGCGTCGATGAAGGTGAGCGTGTACATTTCGTCCTCGGCTCCGCAATGCCCCACGTTCAGGAAATCGCTGTACACCTTGTGTAGCTTGGGGTAGCGGTTCGTTCCAGGTTCGAGCAGCGGGAACGGTTGGTGGCTCAGCGCAGCTTTGGGGCAGACGGTGCAGTTGTGCGGATGTGTCGCGCCTCTCACTTCGGAGCCATCAGGGCGCAGGAGTGCGCCAGGAGCGAAGACGCCTGCATCGATGCAGTTTTTCAGCGTCGCACGTGAAGGGTGTCCGAGGCGCTGGTGCCAGAGAGTATCGTCAGCGCGAAAGCCGGAGGTGCGTATGTAGCGTGCGCGTGCTTCCTCAGGGTCTTCGTCAGGTACAGGAGCAGGTTCTGCTGCTACTCCCTCTGCTTCTTCTTCTTCCGGCGCGGTGGTCAGCATCAGCGCCAAGAACTCTCTGTCGCGAATCTCAGAGAGCAGAATGTTGGTCCCGGGGATGGTTCCAGGGACAAAGGTGGGTTTGCGTGGCTCAGGGGCAGGTCCGTAGACGGTGCGACGCGGGGTTGACGGCTCGTTGCCCCAGATGATGGTGTCCCATGGATCGCGACGCGGGGGGTTGTCAGGAGGAGGTGGTGCGAGTGGAATGTGACGCGGGGGACGGCCAAGAGGAACGACTGCAGGTGTTGCCTCAGTTTCATCCTCTCCCCCCTTTCGTTCTTCGCGGAAAGTACCCCAGCCGCTATTGTCGGCGCTAGTTGCGGCGCCCCATCCGCCGCTCGCGTTGGCCCAGGTTCCGCCGGTGTCTCCCCATCCTCCGGCGCTCCCCCACCCTCCTTCATTGGAGGCACTTTCTTCAGCCTCAGCTCCCCAGGTGGCGCAAGCGAAGGTCCCACGTGCTTCTGCGAGGCTTTGCTGGCGAAGCTCCTCAGCTTCGCGGCGTGCCAATTCTTCCTCTCGCTCCGCGGTGAGTTTCTTCGATGAGTCGCGTCGATGAGAGTAGATGGCCAGAAACCTCTCGTAGGTGTAGGGTCGCGGCTCGCCATGGGCATCAAAGGTGCCGACGCCAGTTCCGCGCAGCATGCCTTGAAGGTGCTGTGAGGGGGGACCGATGAGGGGATGCTCTGGCGTGCCGAAAATGCCGTGGGTAGTAACTTCAAGCTCGAGCTGCGACATCCCTTCCTCTGGGGGCGCGTGGCGCTCTGCTTCAGCGATGGCGGCGAGTCCGCGGCCGGCAATCGTGCTCGTTGATGTCGTCGGCGTGTAACAATCCCTGCAGATGCCATCTGGATCAGGGTTGTGTAACGCCGTTTCGCGTGGGTGGGGATGGTGCGGCACCCACGGTCTGCCGTCAGGGTGCTTCCAATCCCTGCGGTGGATGTGCTCGAAGCGCAGTGGCACGAGATCAATCAACTCGTGCGAGTCGCCGCTGCAGTCGGGAATGTCGAAATCTAGGACATACACTCCATTTTCGGAGTGCGCTCGTCCGATCTGCCTGCGGGGAAATGTGTGCGATTCGTAGTGCAGCAGGATGTCTCGTGTCTCGCGATCCGTGCTGAGGTCGACGCCGCAGTCCATGAGCTGTGCGGCGGACAGGAGGTTGAAGCGCAGGTTCTGGACGATCAGCACATCGTTAAGCGTGATGTGCGTGCGGCTTCCACGTGCTTTGAGCACGACAATGCCTTGTGCGCTTGCGCACAGGCGCGTGTTGTTCGCCACAGTGACGTAAGTGACTGTAGGGGTGGGGACGGCGTTGGATATGTAACGCTCGGAGCCCACCATATGCTGGCCGCAGCAGCTGTCCAGGTACCAGGTGTTGTAGCGCTTGTTGTCGTCACGTGCGAGCAGCGCCAATCGCGGTGTGACGATGTGCGGGGTGTCGAACTTCAGAAATTGCTCGCGCGAGAGCCAATCAAGTGGCGCCACCCGCATGTCCGGTATGTGCGGGGGACTTTCAAGCAGCTGGACTGGGAGGTTCCAGTCC